TTTGCATGTAGCCTTAAGTGCAGTATAATACAAGATAATTTTATTAATTATCAATTTTCAGCACTGTTTTCTTCCTGGGATCTTCATTATACACTGAGAACTCTGCTCTATTTGTTAAATAAAATATGAGGATCAGAATCATTGCCCTTAGTACCAGTGGTATGTCTGCTGTTTCCATTAATGACAAAAGCATGTAAATAGTAGGGGGTCATATATTTCTAGTGTCCTCTAAAAGTCAAGTGGCCTTACTTGACCTATAAACACTTCCAAAATCCAGCCTACCTCAATTTCTACTTCAGAATACTCCTTGATTCGTTCAATGGACACTATCTGCATTTCAAAATCACACATTGTTTTCACCACAAAGTTCAGCTGTTCCGTCATCTGTTAAGACAAAAATTATCAGCACTGAAATGTGTAACCCCTTATGAGAAACAAATTAATTATCCATCAAATTCCATCTGACTGGGTTTACTTTTCCACAATTTATTTTAACATAAGTCAAATGCACTCTAATTTGCCAAAAGTAATTCCTAAATATTTACATTTATTTAATTTTTTTATATACACACTTTATGATTGCAGTTAAATGAAAATACAATTTTCCTCTTAATTGCCCAGATGACTTACCTGCAATGAAAAGGACACAGAAAGGCCTACTTCTCCACCACTTATGCCTCCTTCCGACTCCCTGGCAATCAGGGCAAAGATGGCAGCAAACAATATGACAGAACTACCCAAAACTTCCAGGCAAATACCCAGCCACCTGAAATGACAAAATATTCAGCAAGACAATCAATATAGGGTCAATAGGAAATGCTAGGGGGCTAGCTTCCAAAAATAGTTTAGTCCAAATGTTAGTCCACTTTGATGCAGGATTAAGAAGTAGTAGTGTTAGCACTCACTGACAATATTCTAGTTGTTAATGTACGTATATAAGAGCACTGATGACTTGATGTGAAAATTTGTAGTGTGACTGTATTAAAATATGGGTGTTCTAGCCATTGTAAAAATGACTTGGGCATCATTATTTGCTTAAAAGTTAGGCGCTCTAGACATAAAAAAAGTTGCAACTACACTAAAACATGGAAGTAATGGATAAGAAAATTTATCAAATGTATATAGGAGGGACTTCAGAAAAGCATGAGAGTGCCAAGTGTGAAAAAGTGCCAGATGTGTCTGTCCTCAACAAACCTATTTGACACAATATTAGGATAATACGCTATCTGGTTGTCATCCACCATCCTGTCTGTGGTCCGTATGAACCGGTCCTGCTGTTTGTAGGCTCGTATTGAGCTCACCCCAACCAAAGTCTCACTGAAGTGGGAATATATGGGAGACCTTTTTAAGGCATCTATCCTTTGAAGTTGTCTTGCTGTATACAGGTAGAAGGTCTGCAAATCAACAAGTTAGATGTTTACAGTTAATTTTATACTATGAACATTATGTAAAAAGGGAAACTTTTATAATGTATAACACAGATTTTATTGTTTGAAAATGATTTTTTTTTTCTATTGATGTGTATGTGGTAAAACTGCATGAGGTTAATCATGGCCAAAAGAGAGAAAAACAGACAAATTGAGATTTTTTCAACAAAGGACAGATCTAAAATTTCAGAGAGATGCATGGGATCCCTATATCCCCCCCACACACACACACACACTAACACACAGCTTGTATCTTAACCTGAATAATGAGGTAAATAATGATCAGTGGTATGGCAACCAGGATAAAGGTTGGTGTACTATAGATGATGACAACAAGGGTGGTGAACACAAAAGCCAGGGCACCAGCAAACCACACCAGTGTCAGAGGGATGTTAATGTCACAAGTATCCATGTCTTTGGAGAAACGGTTGATAATACGACCTGAAATAAAATGTTCGAGGAATTGTACAATTATAGTATCATTACCATTTTTATCAATATTATAAATGGTAACTAGTACTTATAATGGCATCAATCTGGAACAACAAACTTACTAGTACATATGTACATAAATATGTATGTGCATTAATAAATGCATACCTTTTAGAAATTGCTTACAGTTTTGTAAACAATTTGGAAGCTAGTCATAAATATAACTGTAATTACTTGGGCCAATTATGTTACATAAAAAATGAAGGGAGTTATTTACAGGGAATTAAGCACACTAAACTTTTATACAGATAAACAGTGCAATGCATGTGCTTTATGTGTACTAATTCAGTCTTCGTCTACTGGACTTGAGTGAAAAGACCACTGGTTTGGAATCAAGTACAATACATAAAGTGAAAAGATACAGGGGTATTTATCTAGTGGTTTAATTGTAGTCTGTTTGTGAAAATTAAGTCTCACCTATTGGTGTGGTATCAAAGAAGTGCATTGGTGCTTTCATTATTCTCTGCAAGAAGTTTCTGTGAAGAACTCTGGCAGCTTGCAAAGTTCCTAGCACAATAGCCACATACTCTACTGCCACAAACGCCACTGACAAATATAGTCAAAATACTAAGAATGTATTACACATGTTCATATTGTTAGATTTGTTATTAGTTAGTCTCAAATAAAAAAGAGAAGAAAAAAAGAAATGCCAGCTCAAAAAGAGAATGAAATTTGTAACATTTAGTACAAAAGTATAGTTTGATAACAAATGTTACAACAGCTTGTCAAAGAGAATATCTTATAAGAAATTTGTAAAGAAATGAAGGCAGCATTGATATTCTGTAAAGGGGAAAAGGAGACATTTATTTAGATCTAGCTGTGTTTTTAATTTAAACTGATGAATTTTAGCCAGCTAGTCAAGTCGTATTGACTATGTATCATCTTCATTAGAAAAAAAAAACAAATAATTTTCTATTTATGGTGACTAACTCTGTGAATAAATCCCTTACTCTGCGTTGCTCCAAGTCCTCCGTACACTCCCAGTCTAAGATCTGTGAGCTCCCTGGATTGTGTTCCATTTAAAGCAGCTGCATCATTTGTCCATATATTTAACCAGATGTTAGTTAATATCAACATCACCACATAACCTGAGTAGCAGGTCAAAAGGCAGGATGTATAGAGTTTTCCGGCAGCTTTTACATAGGCACGAATCACACCCCATCTGACCTATCAAAACAAAAAACAAAAAAAGAGAACAGTCAAAAATTTTTAATATTGTGGCTATTTGTCAACCCTCACTTACAATTTCAACCAGCTATATAGCTAGTAATTCATATAATTTGTCTTGTGTGCTCAGTCTAGGTAAGACAAGCTAGCTTCAAATATTTAGTATCTACAACAATATTTACCCTTCCAACTGCAGCATATTCCTCCTCTATCAGTTTTTCACCAGTTTCCACTTCATGATGGATCACCTCGGACTCCTCTGATCTCTCAGAAAACCTGAAAAAGTGGGCAATGTTTTTTCAACACCATTATGGCCACCAACATGGGTGCTGATTGCCATTTTTGTTCATTGTTTCACTGTATATGCCATACTGTTGCAAAAATCAATATCACCTGATAAATAAAATCAAGGCCAGTTACAGATTTAAATGAGAAATGCTTGAAAGGATTTTACCTGAATACTTACTTAAAACAAAAACTATCTATTGGAGATATTATCTGATACTTGATTAAGAAATATAGCTCAATTAAATGTACGAATAAGAAAAGCACAATTCTTGCAAAGTATGTTTATGGCATTTGGCAAAATAGTAAGATACCTTCTTCGTTTCACTTTGAGGGAAGTGTCATGGCCTTTGGACACCTCTTTCTCACTTTCCTTTATGCTTCCCGAGAGCATCAAAATCTGCTGTCTCAACTGGTTTTTAATTTCAGTAGCTGCAGTGAAAGGTGACAAACATGTCAAACTTAGTTCATTTACAACATATCCAGTGTTTCTTTACAAAATCAATAGAAGCAAAATCACAAACTCATGATTATAATTTCTTTCAAAAGGGCAATTGGTTTTGTATCGAGAGTGAGTGTACGTAAAAATATATGCTAAAACATCTTTGAGTTTGGCTTCTAACTATAGTCAAGAGGGTTGGACTCCACAGCCAAAAGTATGTTGAGTAGACAGATAATTCTAGCATACTGTCTCTTTTTAGACTCAGTGTACTTAAAATAACATGTGCATGGAGTAACTATCTTGGTTTTCTCCATTGCAAATGTACCCATACAGTATGTCACAGGTGATGAGCTATTGTATACTTATGCCCTAGTTTAAGTGACATTTTGCCACCTGTCTGAATCATTGCATTCTGGGCACAATTCCACAATACTTACTTTCTTCATCTTCGTCCTCTGATTGCTCATCCTGTTCACTGAGGTAGGTTTTAATGAACTCGGCAAAGCCACCATTATGACTCAGCAATTCCTGGTAGGTGCCAATCTCAGAGATCTCTCCCTTATTCAACACTATGATTTTATCTACTTTAGAAAGGCAGCTGATGCTGTTTGTGCACAGTATTCTTGTCTGAAAATATTAAGATGAATAACATAGTCATCTTGACACTGAAAGTGAATTATTAGTGCAAAATAACCCATGAAATGAATTTTGAATGTGCACTTGTTATACTTCCTTGATTTAATCCGCGATACAAACTCCCCATAATACATTCATACAAATCAGTCTAGTCACACTCTTGATAATTTATAAAACTTGCATTGCCTCCAATAAAATTCATTGCCCTCTTTTGCCATGCATGGTCTTCAATTTTCATGTCATTTGCAGATTAATTATAACATTTCAGCGAAGGCAACACCAAATAATCATAAAAGACACTGCATTTTGATAAGCCTTTGAATCCCCTTATCACCCTATAAGCCATGGGCATAACTCCTCTCCAGGAAAATTGCCAATTAACTGCTGAAGATAAAATGTCAACATGACAGAGACTTTTACATTTCTTGGCCTAAAGGCACTGCATTTTATAGCAATTTGAAGACCGAAAATTATTAAAACATGAAGTAAGAGCTTACTTTACACTGCAGCATTCCCTCAGGTCCAATCACTTTATCAAACAGGTGCTTTCCAACATGGCTGTCCACAGCACTGAGAGGGTCGTCCAGCAGGTAGACATCGCAGTCCTGGTACACTGCTCTGGCCATACTGACTCGCTGTTTCTGTCCTCCGCTCAAGTTAATACCCTGAAAACAATTAGAGCAGTTTATGGTCAGTTAACATATGCATGTACACTCACACACATGCTCACATAAATGTGCACACACACTGGCCATGATGTAAATTCTGTCAATATTGATAACCAAATAAGACACAAAAACAATAACAGTAATAGACAAAACGTAGTGTTGTGTACATGCATTGTTGTTTGGAGGCTTTCCTTCCAGCTTTAAAAAATAAATACAGAAATTTGTTCAACCATTTTGCATTTAAAAATGTCTTTTTAAAAAATTTTAACAGCCATCTTAAAGATATCAAGGACTCTCTTAATCCACTACAAAAAAGGCTACAAGACAAAATCAGATAACTAAAAAAAAGAGATAAAGATAAACAAACTCTATGACAGACAGACAGACAACCTTCTCCCCAATTTCAATTTGGTCCCCTCCTGGTAACATCTTCAAATCTGGCTCCAGGGCACAGCAGCTGATGCACCTCCTGTAGAAAGTCTGGTTCAGCTCTTTGCCAAAGAGGATATTATTCTTCAGGGTCAGGTTCTGGATCCATGCTTGCTGGGGAACATAGGCCATAGAGCCCTGAAATGCCACGAAATTTAAAAATCAATCCTAAAAGAATATGAAAAGAAAAGTGCAACTACATGTTTAAGGAAATTTTTGGTATATAGAAAGAAAACTGTAGTTAATTCCTCATTTAATTACTAAACAGTCAATAAGAATTCAAAAAAGTACATTTATTTATAAATCTGTTTACACAATCAAAAGTAAAAACAAACCTGCAATTTACTAGCCATGTAATTTAACAATTATTATACAAGGAAAATGTACATTATATCTAAAGGCTAGCATATTTCTGTCTCATGCTAATGACAATTTATTTTGACATAAGAAAATCATCAATTTTTGTAAATCCTGTCAATTTATGAGTTTAGATTGCTAAATTTGACTTGGTTTAAGCAATTTTCAAGTTCTAAAACATTAATTTTGGCAGAAAGTCATATTTCTCAAATCATTTTTAAATAGGTGGCCTCACCGAAAATTTATTGTAAATGAGGGGTACATCTAAAATTTAATAAATTTCTAACAGAGAAACTGTACGCAAGTTAACAAACAGACAGTTGCTCCAGGGATAATGTTTGCATGCTGTGTTAGGAATTGTGATGAAATATTTTAGCACGCAAACACAGCTTTTAATCTTACAAAGCAGGCAGAGTGACACCTTCCCCTATAGGCATATCCTAGCTAGCATTATATTTTCCCTTACTTGTATTCTCACATATCCATCAGTGCGCACCATCTCTCCCAGCAGAGCAGATATTAAAGACGACTTCCCACTTCCAACTTGTCCCACCACTGCCACCAACTCTCCTTGCTCAAGTTGAAAATTAAGACTGAAATAAGGAAAGATTCCAATGCCATACTTTGAAAATATATTTCAATATATCCATAGCACATCTTTTATCTGAACAAAGCATACCTTGAAACACAAAAAACTAGCATGAATTGATCAAAAAAATTTTCTCCTTACTTTTTCAAAGTTGGTGTTCCTTCTTCCCAAGCAAAGGAGGCATTCTCCAGAGATATTGGGTGACCTAAAATATTGTCATTTTTACATTATGTTTTGGCATTTGATACTATATTTGAAATATTGCCAAACAACTTATTTATTTATTCATTGCATGCTGACTGTGTCCTGGGTATATACAGTAGTACTCATACTCTTTACAATAAGTTGGAAACTTTGTCTGTGAATACAATATGTCTTCATCCGACTATGTTCTACCAGGCTTGACTACCTCCATTGTTTCTTCTGTCCACAGTGTCCAAGTCAAGTTCACTCATCTTCATAAATCTGCCAATTCTCCTCATTGCAATGCCAGCCTGTAACATGTTTACAAGTAAAAGTTATACATATAATGTTTAAAATGGGTACTGGAAAGTTTTTCCTTTTTTTCTCTTTGTGTTACACCCCCTTAATCCAAGGAGAGTATATCAAATTATATTAAATTAAAACAATTATTATAAATAAAAATTTGATTGTTTCTGCATAAAGTTGCTTATTCATTCACACATCTATTTATTTGTTCATCAAATTATCTTATCTTCACTACCAATGAACTACTTGGATAAAGAAATGTACAGTTTTTTTTATGGCAATCACCTGTATCAAGAACATGAGAGCATAGGGCAGGAAACCCAGGTGTTCATTCATAATGGTGAACAAGGCCAGGGAGACAAATGCTGTATTTGGGTCAAGGACATTGTTGGGGTCGGAAAGAACAAAGGTGGCAAAACTGGTAAGGGCTGTCTGAAAATCAATAAAATTTGTCTAAATTTTTCTTTATAATAAATAAATAAATTGACATTCTTTAAAATATCTTAAAATTAATATATCTAAACATATATCTTCATGTTTTAATTGTTTTCTTGCACAGATTGATGTGTATCCCCTAGGATATCTCCATTTTGTGATCTAATATCAGTCAAACCCAAAATACAAGATAATGACAGATATCAAGGAAATATAATTAACAGCATGAAATGAGCTCATTAATGTTTCCTTACCAGTAACGGCACTGAGAAATAGCTTATGTCACACATTGCCAATGAGAGGGAGGCATTCCTCATGTATCTTAATTCAGTTTTACGAATAGCAGTTGTCTTTTCTTCAAAGGAGGTTTCCCAACCATAAAGTTTTAACACCTGAGGAAAAGAAATGTTTTTTAACAATTTCTCTATAAATATCACCATCCTGCCATTTAAATGAAAAACCATATGCAAATATTGAAATTATATCTATGTAGCATTGAAATATACTTGAAAAACATTCAAAAAACAATTTAGTGAAGTCAAAACAACACTTTCCCTTACAGCAAACGGGCAAAATACAATACCAACTGTGTACCTACTTTGATTCCATTGAGGATTTCATTCAGACACTTTATTCTAATGTCTTTTTTGCCCATTTGAAGAACCTTTAATAATGGAAAAAAGCATTTGCTAAAAACTTATATTATCCATTTCTCAAAATATCAGGAGACAACAGATAAATTTCCATTTTATATTTAAGATGTGTTGCATAATTAATCAATAATCTAATATACTGCCAATGCTTAACTTAAGTAAGAAGTAATGAATTATGCCAGTGCATATATCAGAACACAAAAGCACTCAATAATATGTGTGTGAGTGCATACATATATATCTACATATGTACAGTTCACATCTAACCTGGTTATATCTGATCTTGTTTCCAAAGTAAAAATTGACTGGAAGCATGAGAAGAATGACCATGACTCCAGCCAGAGTGGCTGGTCCAAGGTACTGCCAGACTAAGGCAACAGATATAATAATACTGAGGGGACAGGACCATATCATGTGCAGAAAGAACGGTGCCTCCTGTAACTTCTGGGCATCGACAGACATCAGGTTGACTATTTGACCAACAGTAGAATTCTTCCTGGATTCATTGCTCAGCCTTAAAGACTAAAATAATACATTGTAAAGATAGTAAAAATGATATTATGAATACTTGCATCTTTTGCATTGCTTCATCTCAAAACAGCGAAGACTTCATTGTCTAACCAGACTTGTGATATTGAATAAATTTTAACAAAAATTAAAAAATATGGTCCAGTGTAGGAAACTCCTGTATAAAATTTAAATAACAGTGTATGCCTTTGTAAATTAAAAATGATACCCTGGTTTCACTGGACCCAATACTACTAGTGCTTATCAAATAACCAATAAAATGGAAAGCAAAAGGTCAGAGCCAATACCTTTCGGTACAAAGCTGTAATGGCGGCAGTTCTCATCCTGAGGCCAACCACCTGCGACATGTAGTACTGGTGCTGGTTTAAGAATGCTTTCAATAAACTGGTCATGAACATCACTACAGCCAGCAGGTATCCCCGCCATATGAAGGGATCATCTGATTCAATGAAGCTGATAAAATAGCTGCAAAGATATGTATGAAAAGACTAACTTTATCAAGATATGCACTTTATTTCTTACCTTTCAAAAGTGCCAAAAATAAGAGTTTTGAAAAAAATCATTTTTTAAACAAAACCAATAAAATTTTGTCACTTGTTATATTATGACCAAATTAAAACTATTAGTTATATTTCTTAAAAGCATCAAAATTTACGATGATGGAAAAAAATGTCAGTGGTTCACATAGCTAAAAAAAATTTAAAAATTGATATGGAAAATGCATTGTGAATAGTTTTCCAAATGAATAAATAGCATTCATTGACAAGGCAAAATATTGAATATGTTATAAGAATTTCTTTAAATGGAGCATTTTTCTTCTATGTTCAACAACCAGTGACTTAAAAAGAATGACACAACTTTTTTAAAGGCGCCATTGCACTTATCGTTACAACTGAAAATAAAATTTCAAAATTTCTTCTTCAAACCTTCTAAATGAAAAAAAAAAGTTTAATACACACAACTTATTTATCACTCACCTTAGTAGCACTGGGTTAACAAACATCACTATTTCATACACAAGTTTCAGAAGACCAGCCCATGCGTAGTAACCACCAAAACTCCACAACATTGCTTTGGTAAAACTTGGCTCTCCCTTATGTCTTCTGCCACTGTTCACCATTTTCACATAGGGAACTTCTTCTTGATAGGCATTTTGATAGCTTTCATTTGTTTTGTTATTGTCATAAGTTGCTTTGTGAATCTTGTGACTGATAGAAAACTGAAGTGCAGGTGAGCTAAAAAATAAATTTAAATGGATGACTATTGGCTGATGTTAAGACACTCAAATTTTCAGGGAAAAAATGACTAAAGCAATAAACTGAAACAGTGATATGAACATCCCTTTAACTAAATGAATATAGCTAAATATTTGTAATAAAGTAGCACACTTATTACAAACCTATTTTTAAAAATCAGACAATACTACCACTAGAACACTTTGGAACCAAAACAAGGTACTCAAAATTTGTGATGATTTGAGGAAGGCAATGTATGCTTATATCACAGCAAATATCCATTCCACATGATATGTTTGAGATCAATGATAACTCAGGTTATAAGGTCATGCAGAGCTTAGGCAGAGTCTAACGTAGTTCAAATAATATATATTAAGTATTTTACATGCCTTGCTGCTGCACTTTTTTACCTGTTATTCCGGATCACTTGCTTGTTCCATTGCCTTAAGAAGGATGGCACAATGCTTCTGCAAGAATCTGATGGTTTCAGCTTGGTAAGGTCACTAAAAACCAATGGTCTCTTGTATCCTTTGATGACCAGTCTGAAATTGTAATGGTACTAAGTAACATGTCTAATCAAGCTTCTTTGGTAAAGATGAACAACATTTTTAAATGACAATGTCATGTATTTAAAACAAATGTATTTTTTATGCCAATTTTATTTCTTTCATCTGCATCTTTTGGCATCAATCAATTATTCTTTTACATTGAAACTGTATCTTATTCAAAACATAATTAAACTGATATTTTGTTGTATGAACTGATTTAGCAGGATGCATTGGACTTCCCACCTTGTAATCCACCAAAACAACATCCGGGACACATATGAAGCTGTAAGTTCTTGACACATTGCCTAAAATGAAAATAACTTAAAATTTAATGAAAACAGTTTAGTTTCCTATGAAAGATTGAAAGATTTTTAAGGTAGCCAGAGACTGCCAACAAGTTAACAAACCCACACAATATACTTATAACAAGGTGTGTAACATGTAGGGAAATAATATGTGCACATATATTGAGATCAGCTCTGCGGATCCAGGCACACCATGTTACTGTTTTGCAACCATTCAGTAAATATCAATGATTCATTTGACAAATTTCCTTTCACTTGAGTCAATGAAAGATGATTTTTTTTTTTTTGGGGGGGGGGGTGAGTCCAAAAATGCTTATGGAAGAACAACTTGCATATTTCTATTGAAATGCAGCAGTATGCACAGTTGCATGGGCATAACTCCTTCAAGACAACACAAAAGCAGCATATACACAAATGCACAAATACAAAATGCAAATTAGATTTATGTAAACACACACACTACACACTTACAGAAACTGTCTGTCTTTCATACCTTTTCATCCAAAATGTCCTCTTTCTCCAATTCAGCACCAAGCAATGGCTGATACTCTGATGCTAGAGAGCCAGGCAGGGCTCTCTTGTCTGCCCAAATATGGAGAATAAACTCAAGAAGAACAAAGGTGAAGTAGACAAAAGTTGTCACCGCTCGAAACACACTCACATTTTCCTGAAAATTATACATTTCAGCTATAAATATATCTTCAAGTTTATGGCAGCTACAACATGTCAAGTTTAGCAACATGAAACTTAATAATGATGCATTAATCACATGCAGCAATTGGTTCTTTATGTATCAATGTAAAACTTACTAAATTGAAAACTAAAATATAATAACAAAAATAATTTACTGCCTTTAAAAGTAAAATAATTTAATATAAAAATAAAAGATTCAAAACATGGCAAAAATTGCCTTAAATTTACCACATTTTCTAACTGGAGAATTTGGGATCTGAAAGTGATCACTCCAGTTATGAGCAATAGCAGCCAGAATAAGAAGAGGATTGCTGAAGACGCCACACCTTTCACGAATTCATAGCTTATGAGAAAGGTAGACAAAGCCTAAAAATAAAAAAAAATTGTAAGCTAGAAATGATGTAGGAAAGTAAACTGTAATGCTGTCTGAAAAACAAAAGTTTGCTGACTAAATATGCCACTACAAAAAATTAATTTTATCTCTAGAAGCAACTAAATAAATATATCTGTGTATGGTTACCATACCAACATATAAACGTACTAGTGCAAACAATGAATTTTCAAGTAAAAAATTTTAACATTCATATCCTAACAGTCTAATTAAGTATAAAATTTAATTGTATACCTCTAAGGACAATGCCCACAAGATGATTACTTACAAAGGAAACAAAATAAATGAGAGGTGTCATATAAAACACTGGGGCTGGATTGGTGGCTATATCCCCCAATGTCTTGAAGAAATCAACTAGAACAGTCAAACACAGCAAGATGGACAGAATCTGAAGTATACATGCATTAAAGTAAAATAAAGTATATGTATCTGATAATCAATCTTGGCAAAAATATATGTTTCATCTATTAAATGAATACTCTGAACTCTTCTCTATTGTTAAGTAACTTAATTCAAAATACACATTTTGAAAAAAGGTAAGGCAGACATAAAAAGTAATCATTCTGAACACATGACATTTTTTTCAAAGCAAGTTATGTCATTCTTTATCCATCCATAACAGTTTGACACTAATAAAGAAAGAAAATGATAAACCAAGAAGCAGTATTTTCCAGCTACAAAGCAAACTTCTTTCTCTAATCTGAAGTTCACTACAACTCACCAATTTAGACATCTGAAATTTCCCTCCATGTGATAATTTGCATTTTCCAGCTACAAAGCAAACTTCTTTCTCTAATCTAAAGTTCACTTCATCTCACCAATTTAGACATCTGAAATTTCCCTCCATGTGATAATTTGCATTTTACAGCTACAAAACAAACTTCTTGCTCTAATCTTAAGTTTACTTCAACCAAGGGCGTTCAATATACATCCTTGCTTCAACTCACCAATTTAGACATCTGAAGTTTCCCTCCATGTGATAATTTGTGAACCACTGGTTCCTTCCTGAGAGATGGGATGTAGTACAATGCATAGATCCATAGAAACCCACATGGGACCCACACCAACACAGTGTCTTGGAAGCATTGGGTGAAGTCTGGGTTGCTGGTGTTCACTGTCAGACTCGGGCTCTGAAAAGAACAATAAAAGTGAGAGAAAAGTTCACACTCTGGTTCGCACGCACATGGCTACTTTATTTTTAGGTCCACTGTCAGGCTCTGGCTCTAAACTGTCAAAAAACCATGTAACACCCTGAAAACTGTATCATAATGTGAAGCTGAAAGAAAGAAGTGGGCAGGTTCTTTTACTTGGTTACTAAGTTATTATTCGATTCACTGAAACCCAGTTTTGAATGATAACCCTTTTTAAGAAAGCCTAAGAAGTGATAGTATATCCCTTTTACCAGAGGTAAAAAAAAAAAAACAGCGTGAACACACAAGGTCACTCCCTACAAACTACAGGTACATGTGAAATGAGTCAGTAAGACATAAAGATATAGGAAATTATGGAAATATTTCTTTAAATTATGCAACAGATCTGACCATACTTTTGACAAAATGATATTTTTGTTCAAAAACTTTGAATGCTTATCCATAGATATGTACATGTAGCTGCTGCACTTAAATCTGCAACAGATGAGGTGTGTTACATGGAAGAAGAATTTGACTGAAAAAAAGTTTGATCAACATCAATGGAAAAGACTATTATAGATAAATATGGTATCATACCCGTCCACAAAATACTTACCCAGAAAGGCGAGTATTGGCTAGAATTTCCACAAATATCTGTCCAATATATCTCCTCCATCTTGGTTCAAAAAACTTTTTGAGTGGCTAATACTTTCTAGACCCATTTAACACGAGTCCTTCTGCACCAGTCTTCTATAAATGGCTTTTGATGCACATCTTAATTATTAGCGTAAGGCAGATAGCTTATAAATCAACAGGTGTATTGAGGTTTACAACTTCACCATTCACATTATCAACGGAAGTTTCAAGTTTGAACAAACTTTGAGGAAAATCAAACAGTGAAGTGCATTATTCAAACAGACAAGATAGGAGAAAGCATTTCATTAAATAAGTTTAATCTGTGAACTTTAAATAGATCACCATAAACACTGTGTCTTTGTATCCAGTATCTTTCCCAAAGTTCATCCCAATTCGAGGACTTTCATGGTCTGATTACAGGAAGAAATGACCTTGTATAAAAATAGGTATGAAAATGATTTGGAGGAATTGAACTGAAAACTGGCGTTGTGCAATCACAATCTGTGGCAAGTTAAGTTCATTGCCGAATAAAATCTGATATGAAAATACATAATATTGCACAAAAATATTCACTTTCACATTTACTATAACAAAAGGGACCACATTCTAAAACAATCAACCAAAAACTAATAGTACCTGTGATCTGTTCAAAAACGGACCAATCAACCCCTGTTTGTTACTGACAACATTATAGTTCTTTCAAACAAACAAATACATGAGAAACATGTTTAATAAGCAAGGCAAAGGATTTACCTTCAATTATTCACATCATAATATGTTTTTGTAACCACCTTCCTGGCATTTTCCATTAAAAACAAGATCTCTTTTCAAGAAATGAATTATTTTATTCAATAATTTTGAAGCATTTATTTTTTAGGCAAATACGAGTAGGGTGCCTTTGACCGCCTAATCAAATGGGCATTTTAAGATCTTGAATTTTGAAAAAAATATTCAAGTCATTTTCAATACATATATATTTATTGATTAAACGCTTCATGATCATGACATTAAAAACTTCTTCAATGTCAAATAAACATTATATGCCCCTCTTGCTTTATGACTACCTCACTTTGCAGAAGACTTCCTTCTCTTTGAGGACCTGTTTGTCTCTGTGATCCCATTTTCCTTAGAATGAACTTTTCTTTTATTCATAGAATCAGGAGTTTTGAATCCCTTCTTTGTTTTCTTCTTTTTTGCATGTTCTAATCTTGTAGTCACTTTCTCAGCAGGTGAGGTTTCTTCCTCTTGGTCCCTTTGCAAGTCTGTTAAATCTGATTTTTTGTTTTTGTTTTTCTTTTTTGCCTTTAAGTTTGTTTTCTCATTTGTTATAACATTTTCTCCATCGTTTTCCCCATTACCTTTATCTACCTCAATATGTTCAGACTCGCTAGTCTTTCCTCCAGATTGTTTTTCAGATATTTGATCTAGTTCTTTTAACCTTTGCTGTACAGCTTTCCTGATTCTTTCTCCCAAATCATCTGTTTCATCCACCATTTCCTGAGAAGCACCATCTTTAGGATCCTGGGTTTTACCCACAAAGTTCTCAGTCTCCATGTTAGTAGCACTTTGTGATGCCTCATTATCTTTTACCCTGCTGAGAAGAAAAATATTTGAGACAACTGTTATGACATCATTCATACAAGTGATACACATGTGACATTTCTGTGTGTGTGTGTGTGTGTGTGTGTGTGTGTGTGTGTGTGTGTGTGTGTGTGTGTGTGTAAATACACTGCACAAAGTTGACACCAGTGAATGTGTTAGGTGTGACTGAACACATCTTACCTATCACTTTGCCCCAGCTTCATACACTGCCACGTGTAGTCTGTAAAGGTGGCCTGCTGTTGCAATCTCTTCATCCTCTGGAAATGACGCTCTGAAAAAATAGACATTGGCTTTGATGGCTTTGATATTGCAACATGTCAATGTAACAGCATGTGTATTTTGAAAAACTACTGAGCAGAATAAAGTATTATTTTAATATGATCCTACTGTATATAAATATAGTACTGAAAGACCTTTAACTCTGGTTGCCAATCAATTTACCTGTATATGGTAGGAGACCCTCCACTGTGGCTTTAAAGTTCGGCAGCTTCATCAGCTCCTCAGGGGGGTAACCCTTCAGCACCACTGACAGCACAAACTGGGCTACGTGACAATGCTTACTATTAGTGTTCCACTGAACAGAAAACCTTAGGACTGCATCTATTAAATAAAACAGAAAAGCATACTAACATTGAACTCACACCTTGTCTTTGAATTATTTAAATATATTGCTTAAAGAGACTAGATACTGTTAGTATTTAAACTAAAGGTCATGATCATAATGATTGCTGAGATAGACAATACAAGAAGACAAACAGACCAAAAGCATAATTGGAGGGTGTATTTCATAAGAGAATCTTTCCAAACAAAACAGACTGCTTAGCAGAGAGAATACATCATATATAAATCAAGAAAACAAACAGATATTACCCTCCACTTAAAAAAAACATCAAAGCAATGGATCTATTTTGATGTTTAAAGGCAGTCAATTGTTACCTGTCTGGTCCATTCTCAGTTTAAGCACAGTATCTGTCAAGTCTTGTTGCCCTGTGGGCTGACTCAGGATCTCTGAATAACAATAACATAAAATATAATAATTCAACACCAAATAATTATAATAATAATAATAAATAAATAAATAAAAATAAATGGAAAAATAACATAAATTAGTTTTAAGTAAAGGGAAGTCTACTTACTAAAAATATATAAAGGTTGAATAAAACAAGGCACCACACTTATTCAAATACATGGACTGATCCCAAAGTTTAGGAGGTTCAAGAACAAATAATATTTTATAACCTAATTCCACAACATGAAAGCATATCTTAGGGTTACCGGTAACAGAGTTTTGTTACCAGAGGTCAAGGCTGAGGTTCGACTACATAGTTCTAGGCCAATGCCAATTTAAAGTTACCTCCAGATATTACCAATGCCTATGTCAGCTAGGCGTAGTTGCAGGACTTAAATCTGAACCTGGTGCCACACAAGATCTTAAGCCCAAAGATAGTCTAAACTTTAAATTTTAAAATTTGGCCTACTTTAAGCTATAAGTTGCTGCAATATTAAACAATGCTTAACACCATAATCATCACAATTTTTTTAATAAATTGCAAGCATAATATTGAATCAGATAATGTGAATAATAAATACAAGATAGACTTTGACAGATACAGTATAAGTGGTTTTATCATACCTTTCATGATATTCAGAACTCTGAATGGCTGTTCTAGAGTGATGGCCAATCCTATTGCCTTCAAGTACTTCTTCTGCTGTAAGAGGTTGGCAAGTTCTTGTTCCCTGCATGCAAATGAAAATATAAGTGGCAGGAGTTCAGTTTCATCTAGGATGATCAAATCACACACCTAAAATTGCCATTCAATTTATTTAAAGAATTACAACTTGACTGCATACATTTAATGTGCAATTATGAAGTTTTACTATGAGGTACAAATCAGCTCACTTGATAATGGTATCCTCCTCTTTGGCCTTTGCTTCTTCTATTTCAGTTTCTGTTGTGTCCTGTAATGTGTAATGAAATTAAATGATTTAGCATTGTAGCAATAGTTTTGATTATACAACACCCATACAGAAGACCAAAGCTCAAATTTCCCGTGTTAAGTGAAAAAACTTAAATAAAAGTCTTTACAACTTAATAAATAATTACATCAAAAATATTTGTATCTAAGAATAGCAATCCATTGGAGGTGCAAAAAATATCATCAATTGAAAACAAAAAGTAACAAGCAAAACAATGGAAATACATACCCTGGTGCAAAAGACTGTAACACTACAAAAAAAAAAAAAAAAAAAAAAAAACACCCCTAGATAACTTTACCATTTTTTATTTGTTGCCATTGCTGCCATTCTTTCTGACCCTATTTCTCGCCTACTTTTCACGTACGCCTACGTACTCACAGCAGCCTTTGACTATTACATTTCAATTTTACCTTCCAAACAATGATACTGGAGTCAGCTGCCCCACTGACAATGATGTCTCCCTTTTTATTGGCTGTGAGAGCCCAAGCCTTCTCATTGTGCTCATCCAGTGTCTTGATACATTCATTATTCTTGATATTCCACAACTTTAGAAGACCATCAGATCCACTGAAAGAGAGAGAGAGGATAATTATACTAATCTAACATAATTGTTGATAACCTAATTTTTTCAATATATCCCTAACTGAACCATCTCAAGACATTACTTTTGCAACACCTGCAGCTGATAACCTAAATTACTTTTCAAACTGTACTACATTAAATAGACAGAAATCAAGGATATGCCACAATAAGCTGACCCCTTAGTTTGAAAATAACTCACAGAGTTACCTGTTATACGTGATTTTTACTCCAATAAGTTAACATTTCCATTTTCTCATGTTATCAAGTACTTTAATATGGCACCATACCTTGACATCAACTGCATCCCTCTGGTCAAGAAAATTACTTTCAGAACAGATGTGTCATGCCCTTCAAATGTCTGAAATACAGAGTAGAAAATGTATCACATCTTTGGTCATCAGACCTGAACATTCATAACTGGTAAGCAGCAGTCATAAATATGAAACAGTTCATAAGTCTGAAGCAACTTTTTAATTGTAGGTTTTATAAAAAAAATTAAATTTTTTTAAATTTTTTGTACATGTGTGCATTTTATATGTATGGATCAAAACCTCATTTTCCAAAGCCATTATACAATTTGTCAAATAAATGAATACTCACTGAGAAACACACAAAAAAGTTCCCAATATATACAAGCTTGTTAAATTTGAGTGGTCCAAAACATGAGATTATGAGATTAGATTACGTCCTTACCTTAACACAAGTGAAATCAGAGAGGGACCAGATCTTTATGGTCCCATCACTGGAAGAGGTGGCCAAACACTGGTCAACAGGAGAGAACTGGACACACCATATCCCTCTCCTGTGACCTCTACACACGCCTAGGAGAGACAGGCTACTAGCATTCCATACCTGGGAGAACAAAAGTAGACAAGGGTTCAGATAGCAGATTACTTTGATATAGGGAGAAGTGAATGAACAAAAGCAAGCAAGGTAGCAGGTTATTTTGATATAGGAAGAAGTAGACACCAAAAGTTAGCAAGGGTTCACATAGCAGGTTACTTTGATACAAGGAAAAGTGAATGAACAAAAGCAAGCAGGTTATTTTGATATAGGAAGAAATATACAACCAAAAGTAAGCAAGGCTTCAGAGCGCAGGTTACTATGATGTAGGGAGAAGTGGACAGAGGTGTGATGGTCTGCATGTTGGGAGAAATTGAACCTTTTGTTCAGGGTAGGTCAAACATTTTAATAGGGTGGATCAATATTGAAATTCCCTTTACCACACATACATCCTGAAATATCTTATTTAGTCTTTATTAGAATAATTGTCAAGCTTTCAACAAGATGAGCTGAATTTTACTGTAAAAATGCATATTTTATAGGAGAACTCAGGGACTGTTTGATTTATGTCAAAGCATAATCACAATATAAACAACCAATGCAATTACTTCAGCAGAACATAATAGGAAACAAAACAACATAATTACTTTAGCTGTCCTATCCTGGGATCCTGTGGCCAATAATTTGTCATTGGGTGACACTGTGATGGAATTAATATCCTTCTCGTGTGCCTTCTCTGTCATGTTAGCATGAAGATTTGTCACAGACTTGCCACAAAGATTGTCTGGCACTGACCAAAGCTTGATGGTGCAATCCTGACTGCCACTGACAATAAAACTTGGGGCAAGTCTGAAATATGAAACAGTATTTATATCTGGGGCCAGCTTCACAAAGAAGATTTAGACTGAAAGTGGATCTTCAATTTTAGACCAATATTTTGGTCTTCTTTAGTTCAGGACAAATCTGCAGTAGTCTACTACAATGAAGTAGCTAATAGACACAACTAAAACATGAACCATGTCTTATTGCTGTTAATTTGTCACAGCATTTATTTAATTGTACTTCATAATTACGTGGAGTCAAAGTACACTCAATTTTTTGTCAAAGTAATAACCCATTTGGTCTAAAAATCATTTGTGAAACAGGCCCCAGAACTTCAGCCAGAGTTTGCAAACAGTGAAATTAAATTTAGGTTACCTCAAACAAAACTGAGCAGATTACTGTATTTTTATTTATTTATTTATTTATTTATTTATTTATTTTTTGACACTGGAATACAAAATTTTCACTAAAAGATTACATGCAAACTATATTCATTGATTTCCAACAAAAGATAACTTGCATCAAAATTACTTCTATCCCCAAATTTTTACAACAAATTAACTCTATTAAATTAAGCAGTCTAATAATGTTATAAGGTAGCTGTACATTCAGATAAGAGGCTGCTCATTAAAAATATGGTAATCACAAATATAGGCAGCCTCTTACTACAAAGAAGCATGATTTACCTTGAAAATGCTACGGCTCCAACAGCATGGGTGTGGCCTTGACCTACAGCTACACAGCTCATTTTCTGAGTATCACCATCTATTTGCCATAGCCTGATACTGTTATCCTGAGAATCAAAGAACAGACAAGAAACTGCTTTTCTTTAAATTTTCTTTTTTTTCCCCAAAAAACATGAAACATTTTTATCTTTCTTACCTGAACATTCTTGCAAACATTGTCTGTACATGCCACAGCTAAAAATATGGGTGACTACTTCATTTAGACAAAGATATTTACTCCCTTTTTAATGTTTTTCCCAATATTACTCTGTTAAGATTTCCCTGAACATACATTTTAAGTGTATCAAAAGTAGATTATTACTTATCTACTCTATTTATAGAAGATGAGACCAATGTTTGCTTTCACCAAAACAGATATGGAAAGAACCAAAACTTGGTAGCATTTGAAAGATTTAAGCATGTCCCAAACCTTAGAACTGCTGACTAGAAGGTTTCCTTTTTGGTAGACATCTAAACTAAGCACAATATCTGTGTGGCCATGGAGAATCTGGCAGTTCCAGGTGCTCAACTCAAACACTTTGATAAGTTCACTGTTTGTTGCCACAGCAATGTGACTTTCCTGCTCCCCAAGAAAATGGATGTCTAGGATGTCATCATTGTAACCTGCAAACTGCAACATAAAAACACAAGAGAGTTTGTAAAAAATTGTCTTTGGTGTATTCAACATTTACTTTTTGAAGTCTTAAATATATCAAAATAAAATACTAAGTCAGAATCCTTTTCAAGGTTTTTGTTACCTTTACCTCTGGCATATTAACAAATTTCTGTTTTCCATCAAGGTAATTACCTCTTTTTATTGATAAAATCAAATCATGTTCAAGACTTGCTTTTGCGGTTAAAACTGCTATCAGAGAAGCTTTGAGTTATATTTTCAAACAGATTTTTTATCTATGATAAAATCAGCTGGCTACAAAGCAGCAATATATTTTATCAACATATTCTTATTCTTCTAGAATCAACATATGTAGCTAACCTGCTTTTTCACTTCAAACCCCTCCAAGTCAAACATTATGATATAATGGTCAAAAGTGACCACTGTAATAGCCCCATTGCATGGACAGTGTATGGCTTGAGTAATGTTTGACCTTTGGTCACTTTCTTCAACTTCCCTGCTTCTTGCTGCCAAGGCAACTGGGCTGTCCTCTTGTGTGTAGACACATGCTGCCTTGGAGGTGTTCCAAACTTTCAGTATACCTTAAAATACAACATGACAATTAATAATAATAATAATATTTATTTCTTAAAACCGCACTACACTAGCGTCTCAGTGCTGTTTACAGGTAAAATTATTAGGATTACAAACTTATTATATATATAATAAAAGCTAAGGTAAAAAAAAAAAAAAAAAAGAAGATATTAAAATGAGAAGATNATTATGAATATTCATCAGTTCTGTAAGTTTCAAGCCAAAAGGTAAAATGGTTTTTTTACTTATCGTGTTATCGGTGATGCCTATATGCTGAAAAAAGTGAAAAAACAGCATAAATTCCCTATAAGTGACCCGATCATGCTGATTTTCGAACTTGACCTGCGTATTATGAATATTTATCAGTTCTGTAAGTTTCAAGCCAAAAGAAAAAACAGTTTTCCACTTATCCTGTTATCGGTAAAAGTGCACGGCGACGACGGCAACGACGGCGACGGCGACGACAGACGCAGATGACGGCTATATGTACAGACACATCTGTGTCTGTACATAAAAACAGCGTGAACACACAAGGTCACTCCCTACAAACTACAGGTACATGTGAAATGAGTCAGTAAGACATAAAGATATATGAAATTATGGAAATATTTCTTTAAATTATGCAACAGATCTGACCATATTTTTGACAAAATGATATTTTTGTTCAAAAACTTTGAATGCTTATCCATAGATATGTACATGTAGCTGCTGCACTTAAATCTGCAACAGATGAGGCGTGTTACATGGAAGAAGAATTTGACTGAAAAAAAGTTTGATCAACACCAATGGAAAAGACTATTATAGATAAATATGGTATCATACCTGTCCACAAAATACTTACCCAGAAAGGCGAGTATTGGCTAGAATTTCCACAAATATCTGTCCAATATATCTCCTCCATCTTGGTTCAAAAATCTTTTTGAGTGGCTAATACTTTCTAGACCCATTTAACACGAGTCCTTCTGCACCAGTCTTCTATAAATGGCTTTTGATGCACATCTTAATTATTAGCGTAAGGCAGATAGCTCATAAATCAACAGGTGTATTGAGGTTTACAACTTCACCATTCACATTATCAACGGAAGTTTCAAGTTTGAACAAACTTTGAGGAAAATCAAACAGTGAAGTGCATTATTCAAACAGACAAGATAGGAGAAAGCATTTCATTAAATAAGCTTAATCTGTGAACTTTAAATAGATCACCATAAACACTGTGTCTTTGTATCCAGTATCTTTCCCAAAGTTCATCCCAATTCGAGGACTTTCAAGGTCTGATTACAGGAAGAAATGACCTTGCATAAAAATAGGTATGAAAATGATTTGGAGGAATTGAACTGAAAACTGGCGTTGTGCAATCACAATCTGGGGCAAGTTAAATTCATTGCCGAATAAAATCTGATATGAAAATACATAGTATTGCACAAAAATATTCACTTTCACATTTACTATAACAAAAGGGACCACATTCTAAAACAATCAACCAAAAACTAATAGTACCTGTGATCTGTTCAAAAACGGACCAATCAACCCCTGTTTGTTACTGACAACATTATAGTTCTTTCAAACAAACAGATACATGAGAAACATGTTTAATAAGCAAGGCAAAGGATTTACCTTCAATTATTCACATCATAATATGTTTTTGTAACCACCTTCCTGGCATTTTCCATTAAAAACAAGATCTTTTTTCAAGAAATGAATTATTTTATTCAATAATTTTGAAGCATTTATTTTTCAGGCAAATATGAGTAGGGTGCCTTTGACCGCCTAATCAAATGGGCATTTTAAGATCTTGAATTTTGAAAAAAATATTCAAGTCATTTTCAATACATATATATTTATTGATTAAACGCTTCATGATCATGACATTAAAAACTTCTTCAATGTCAAATAAACATTATATGCCCCTCTTGCTTTATGACTACCTCACTTTGCAGAAGACTTCCTTCTCTTTGATGACCTGTTTGTCTCTGTGATCCCATTTTCCTTAGAATGAACTTTTCTTTTATTCATAGAATCAGGAGTTTTGAATCCCTTCTTTGTTTTCTTCTTTTTTGCATGTTCTAATCTTGTAGTCACTTTCTCAGCAGGTGAGGTTTCTTCCTCTTGGTCCCTTTGCAAGTCTGTTAAATCTGATTTTTTGTTTTTGTTTTTCTTTTTTGCCTTTAAGTTTGTTTTCTCATTTGTTATAACATTTTCTCCATCGTTTTCCCCATTACCTTTATCTACCTCAATATGTTCAGACTCGCTAGTCTTTCCTCCAGATTGTTTTTCAGATATTTGATCTAGTTCTTTTAACCTTTGCTGTACAGCTTTCCTGATTCTTTCTCCCAAATCATCTGTTTCATCCACCATTTCCTGAGAAGCACCATCTTTAGGATCCTGGGTTTTACCCACAAAGTTCTCAGTCTCCATGTTAGTAGCACTGTGTGATGCCTCATTATCTTTTACCCTGCTGAGAAGAAAAATATTTGAGACAACTGTTATGACATCATTCATACAAGTGATACACATGTGACATTTCTGTGTGTGTGTGTGTGTGTGTGTGTGTGTGTGTGTGTGTGTGTGCGCGCGCGCGTAAATACACTGCACAGTCGAAGTTGACATCAGTGAATGTGTTAGGTGTGATTGAACACATCTTACCTATCACTTTGCCCCAGCTTCATACACTGCCACGTGTAGTCTGTAAAGGTGGCCTGCTGTTGCAATCTCTTCATCCTCTGGAAATGACGCTCTGAAAAAATAGACATTGGCTTTGATATTGCAACATGTCAATGTAACAGCATGTGTATTTTGAATAACTACTGAGCAGAATAAAGTATTATTTTCATATAATCCTACTGTATGTTAAATATAGTACTGAAAGACCTTTAACTCTGGTTGCCAATCAATTTACCTGTATATGGTAGGAGACCCTCCACTGTGGCTTTAAAGTTGGGCAGCTTCATCAGCTCCTCAGGGGGGTAACCCTTCAGCACCACTGACAGCACAAACTGGGCTACGTGGCAATGCTTACTATTAGTGTTCCACTGAACAGAAAACCTCAGGACTGCATCTATGAAATGGAAAGACATTCTATTATTTAACTCGCAACTTGTCTTTGTGGTATAAAAACATATTGTTTAAGTAGACTAGATACAGACAAACTAAAAAATTGGACTCAAAACATAGCTTCATTGGAGAAGGTAATGATATATTAAAAATGAGAACTTTTCTTACACAGTTTGGTCAACATGGAGAATGCATCATATCAATCAAGAATACAAGAATATATTACCCCAATTTCGTTAGAGTAAGAGAGTGATGAGTCTACTTTAGTGTTAAAAGGCAATCTTTTTTACCTGCTTGGTCCATTCTCAGTTTAAGCACAGTATCTGCCAAGTCTTGCTGCCCTGTAGGCTGACTCAGGATCTCTGAATAACAATAACATAGAATATAATATTGCAACACCAAACAAAAAAGTTATAAGTAAAGAGAAGTCACAACCTGAAAATGCCAATATGGAAAAATGAACACTTCACAAAATACCTGCAAAACTTCAGGAAAAATCATACAATCAGGCTAGTTTCCAAATTAGACCTGTATTTTAGTCACAAGCACCAGTCCTGTAAGTTTGTCTATTGAAAACAATAGCTAAAACGGTTTTCCACTTATCATAGTATCTCTGAAATTGAATGGCCATGTGTCTGAACATAATAAAAAAGTTGACTTTGAAACATGATAACTGCTTCTTGTGTTTTTGATGTTTTGTATTTTACCACCTAACTTACACTTTCTGGGGGAGGGGGGGAAGAGGTTAGACCACACACCTCCAGGTCAAAGACAATTTAAGTATTAGCCTACATGTTGTATAAATGCCTAACAGTTGATGTTGGCAACCCAAGGCAAGTACTGTTTTGGATAACAGATAAGCCATGATTCTCAAATTCTGTTGTAACTTAGCCCTTCCTTAACACATTCAAAATTTAAGATTTAAACTACATTTTTCAAATGATGTAGGGACTGTAGCTATTATCAGTTTATTCAAACAGAGCCAAAATCCAATGAAATAAATGACCTTAAGATATTATCCATGCCCATGCCATCTTGGTATAAATAGCAAGACAAAAATCCAAGACCTGGTGTCACAAAAGATCTTCAGTCCAAAGTTGGTCTCATTACAATTGAAAGACTCTTTTGCGCTACCAGACCTGGCATTAACCCTGTTGGTGAAGTAGACTAGGATCAGTCTCACTGGCAAACCATCATGTATAAAGTGGCTTATTTTTGCCTGTGTCTTTTATCTGTCCACCTCATGGTCAGTGCAATCATGGTAACTGAACAAGAAAATGGACTGAGTGAGGTAATGGGTCGGCTGGAGAAACTGGAGAAGGAACAGAGGGAATTGATCGAGGAAAACAAGCAACTTAAGGTATCAAATTCAGATTTTCACCTGAAAATGGGAATCATCTGAGCCTTGCTACTAAGCATGAAATTGACAAAGATATTGTACAATCTATAGGAAAGTGGTGTCAGAAATTATGTCAAACTAGTGAGTGGAATTCAGCATTGAATAAAGTCAAATGGAATTTATTCAAAAATATTTTTCTGGATGTTTCCGCATGTTTTGTAAAATAAGTTTTTTAACAATATATATTCACCAAGTCATGTGAGTTACTTTTTTTTGCTTTCTAAGATGACCTTTCCTGTTAATAAAAGGTAAACCCCACCTCAAGTGGACTCTTTCACAATTTCTAGAGCTGTATCAAGTTGTATGACATTTCACTGTGTTTGCTGACAGCCTTATTTCATATACTTTCAGATAATTTCCATTCTTGGTTTAACAAAATATACAATATTGCAATTTTTATTTTTTTATTTTATTTTATTTTTATTTTTTTTTTTAAATCAAGTTTTCATTTCATGTCCATTTAAGTTTACAGCTTTCTTTTCATAAAAAAATTCAATCATATTTCAAGATCAGCTGTAGATAGGACCTTTCTCCATCAATATTTCATCATGTATTCATAATGAAATCTGTAGACAATTGTTAAAATGTTGAACTTTTCATATTCCTATATATATATATATAGGGCTTATTCAACATCCTGGGAGAGAAGCAGTCAGCTGTAGAAGCAAGATTTAAGAGGCAGGTTCCTGCAAACATGGTTTCACCTAAAACCAATGGTTCAGGTACACTTTTTTCATCAATTAAAATGTTATCTGTAAACTACTAGTTTTTACTTCTGGTCAAGTGTCCTACAATCCTTATTTCCCAACAATACATAGTTTACAATTCTGACACTTTTCAACTAAGCACATGTAAAGTGAGAACTAGGGGTTAATGTGCAATGTAATTTATAATCACACAGATTGTCAGGGTACCTGCTGTGTGAGGGGACCACAGGGTCCTGCAGGCAGAGATGGAAGAGACGGGATACAAGGTTTACAGGTAAATACACATGCAGTCATTCCTTTGTTACTCAATTTTCCTGTTATTTTTCATTTAAAAATACCTACATAATTTCCAATCTGAATGGTTGGGCAAAATACTACAATCGTCAGAAAAAATTGCCTTAAATTTAACTTTTTGTATTTTTATCCTTCTACCTTGATAACAAATAAATCCTATCTTGTTGAACTCCCATCAGGATCATTCTTAGACCCATAATACACCTGGCTATAATCTCTATTCCCCAGGGTCCTGCAGGGCCTAGAGGAGCACCTGGTCCCTCTGGGACTGCACTCACCATGGAGGACCTGCAGAAAATACTGGCCCTGCTCAAAGGGAAACAGGTCAACATACTGCAAGGTAACAGCAATCACTTTCTACTCACTGTTTCATTGTTTATCACCAAAAATGTGGATTTCATATCTCAAAAATTTTGTTTCAAGTATGCACCCCACACATTGTTTTTTAAATATGAAACATTATATTAATTACTTACTTTATTTTTTTTTACTATGTGGTTATTTCAATCAATCAATTAATAAATAATGAGAGTTTCTAATCAGAGGGCAAGTTATCTTAAATAAGATTAAATTTGTGAATATCTTGGTGCAGCTATTTAATTTAACTGCAACATAAATCTGTACAAATCAAAACTATCAGTTTGTGAATTTTATGGAAATATAGCAATAATCTAAATCGTTTCATTTTTCAAATTTCTAGCTGTTCCAAATTTAAGAAGTGCTCTATTAATGTTAATGTTAGAACCGGTACTCTGTGAAAACTAAATCTCGTTGACTTCTTCAATTTCTGTTTAGAGCTGACAGGTACAGGAGATGGAGGCAGTAACCTGGGGGCAGGGACAGGATCTGGGGGGTCAGTCTACACCCGCTGGGGGCGGTCCTCCTGCCCCTATACTGCTACACTCATTTATGAAGGTATAGGCATTACATTGTTATATGCAATAAAGATATTCTTTGATAATAAATAAATGAACAAATCTGCATAGTGAAGTGCTAATGTCCAAGGAAGGTATTAACTTGGCTTTAAGGTTTATCCAAAGGTCATTTGGTCATCAAGAAGAATATTATCACTGTGAAGAGAAACTTTGATAATAAATAAATGAACAAATCTGCATAGTGAACTGCTAATGTCCAAGGAAGGTATTAACTTGGCTTTAAGATTTATCCAAAGGTCATTTGGTCATCAAGAAGAATATTATCACTGTAAAGAGAAACTTGTTTCTTTTTTAAGGGGTGATTGGTGGCTCTTACTACAGTCATGGTGGAGGAAGCAACTACCTCTGCCTGCCTCGTGACCCATCATGGCTGAACTATACTGATGGTTTCCAGACATATGGCCGCATGTATGGTGTAGAATATGAGGTGAGCAGGTTGCCAAATGATTTCTTCTCCAAGCAGAACGCTCCTCCTGGTATTAAATCCCTTCATGATCAAAATGCCGTCTGTGCTGTCTGCCACACCCCAGGGCGCCCAACCCAGCTGATGATTCCTGCCAAAACCTCCTGCCCTGGGGACTGGTTGATGGAGTATAGGGGGTACCTTATGGCAGAACACTATGACCACAAGCGCTCCAAGTTCATCTGTGTTGATGAGATGCCAGAGGTGGACGCTGCAGGAAAAGGCAACCAAAATGGTGGGCTGTTGTACAATGTAGAGGCCGCCTGTGGGTCTCTTCCATGCCCTAATTATGTGAATGGCCGTGAACTAGCATGTGTTGTCTGCACAATGTGATTTATGACTTGTATAAGGACAAATTAAGATTGCAAATGCTGTACGGATAAATGAAACTAGAAAATATAACTTTCACAATGTGCTTCTGTAAAGATTGTAAAATGGAGACCGAATTAAAAGTTAACCATCTATCCATATAGACTCAATAATTAAAATCTTTACAGAATGCTTTAAAATTCTTGATCAATAGAATTAACCACACTGGGGTGGTGCTAACACTCACCAATTTAGCCAAATGCTAAATATGACTTACAATGGCTAAACAAAAAAGGTCCGATTTGACTTGTTTTAGTCATATTATAACCATTTGGATAACAAATTGACACAAAAGTGGGGAAAAATTGCTAGTGCTACCCCAGCCACATCCCTTTCTCTGTGAAAATAGACAAACAAAATCTGCATGTTTTCTACAAGATTTCCAAGGAATCAAAATATTTGTTAGAAATTATCAAATAAAAATAAATTAGACTTCAAAATACATTAATTACTGCTTCTTGCATCTTTTGCTGTTTTATATTTTATCTAACTTGCCACAAGACATGAATGTAAAGACATTTACCACTTGTTTCAATGTATCATCTTTTAAAATGATATGTTTCATTATCAGTTACACTTTCTGGCATAAACCCAACAATATTTCCCCAAGGCTGAGATGACAACACAGGTCCAGACCAAGGTAAATTTAAACTACCTACAGCTGGTGCTACAATAACCTTACACTTTAGCAATCTTGGCAACCCAAAGTGTATATTTTCATTGACAGATAAGCCATGATTATCAAATTCAGCTGTTACTTAGCACTTCCTTAGCACATTTAAAATTTAATATTTAGCATCAAGCTACAAATTTTACAAATGATGTAGGAAGTATCATTATTATCAGTTTATTCAAATAGAGTCAAAGTCCAACACAACAAATGACCTCCAGATATTACCAATGCCTGTGTCAGCTTGGTAAACAGTGGGACTTGAATCAAGGACCTGGTGTCACTAAAGATCTTTGGTACAAAGATGATCTTAAATTAAAGAATTAAAATTTTAGCATACTTTAAGCTAGGCTTTATTTCTTTGAAATAAAGTAACCTAAGCAACTAAAACATTAGCCATTTCTCACTTCTTGTCAAATGGGTCCAAAATCTACTTTTAAGTGAACTACAACAGATATATTTTGTAGTGAAGTGTAAGTAGTAAATGGTCTGAATCTGCAATTACAGATCACAAATGATCTTTCATGGTCTAAGGGCTCATTTCCCCAAAAATCTATTGTTCTACGTAGATAAATTCAACTTCTCTGCAACTTTTGCTGAATGCAAGCAGTTTAACAGATAGCACCTTGATAATGCTAATATGTGAAAAATGAACATTCACAAAAAAACTGCATAACTTCCAGAAAAAGAAACCAATCAGTATTGTTTTCCAAGCCAAACTGTTTTTCAGTCAGATGAATCCTATCTGTAAGTATGACAATCATAAGTTACATGGCTTTTCTTTAATGGTCATTATGGTGGCAACTAGTGCACAAAATAGTTTTTTTTTTCAATTCTGATGCAATATAACATAATGCTTAACCACATAATCACCACCAATTTTAAATAATATTATATATTAAGTATGGTATTCAGAAAATGTGACAAGCAAAGCTCTTTTGGCCCATGGTGATCAAAGCCACACCTTAAAAATGCAATGATGTAAAAAACAAATGTTCCACAAAAAAAATAAATAAATAAATAACAAAGGGATAACTTTCAAAAAAGAATCCAATCAGGCTGGTTTTCCAAATCAAGCTATTTTCAGTCCTATGGATCTTTTCTGTAAGTTTAAGAATCAAAAGTAACATGGTTTTCCCCTTTATGGTCACTATGCGACAATGGCCATGACTTTGACAGATATGGTAAAAGTGGTTTTCTCGTACCTTTCATGATATTCAGAACTCTGAATGGCTGTTCTAGAGTGATGGCCAATCCTATTGCTTTCAAGTACTTTTTTTGCTGTAGGAGGTTGGAAAGTTCTTGTTCCCTGGATGCAAATGAAAAGATTAGTGCCACAAGTTCAGTTTCATCTAGGACTGTCAAATCACACATCTAATATTGCCATTCACTATATTTTAACTTTAGCTTTATTCCATACATTTAATGTGCAATTATGAAATTTTACTATGATGTACAAATCGGCTTACTTGATAATGGTATCCTCCTCTTTGGCTTTTGCTTCTTCTATTTCAGTTTCTGTTGTGTCCTGTAATATGTAACGAAAATAAATGAAATAGCATTGTAGCAATACTTTTGATTATACAACACCCATACAGAAGACCAAAGCTCAAATTTCCTGTGTTAAGTGAAAAAACTTAAATAAAAGTCTTTACAACTTAATAAATAATTACATCGAAAATATTTGTATCTAAGAATAGCAATCCATTGGAGGTGCAAAAAATATCATCAATTGAAAACAAAAAGTAACAAGCAAAACAATGGAAATACATACCCTGGTGCAAAAGACTGTAACACTACAAAAAAAAAAACACCCCTAGATAACTTTACCATTTTTCATTTATTGCCATTGCTGCCATTCTTTCTGACCCTATTTCTCGCCTACTTTTCACGTACGCCTACATATTCACAGCAGCATTTGACTATTACATTTCAATTTTACCTTCCAAACAATGATACTGGAGTCAGCTGCCCCACTGACAATGATGTCTCCCTTTTTATTGGCTGTGAGAGCCCAAGCCTTCTCAGTGTGCTCATCCAAAGTCTTAATACATTCATTATTCTTGATATTCCACAACTTCAGCAGACCATCAGATCCACTAAAAGAGAGGGAGGATAAAAATATCAATCTAACATATCTGTTTATAATTTAATCTTTTCAGTATATTCCTGACCGAACCATCTCAAGATATTACTTTTGCAACACCTGTTGCAGAAAATCTTAAAGTTTACACTTTTTTCAAACTGAACTACATTAAATAGACAGAAATCAAGGATATGCCACAATAAGCTGACCCCTTAGTTTGAAAATATCTCACTAGGTAGCACCACTTGCTTGCACCGAGTCATTACCTGTTACATGGACCAGGACCTGGATTAATGAGCAAACATTCCTCATTTTCTTATGTAAACAAATACTTTAATATGGCACCATACCTTGACATCAACTGCATCCCTCTGGTCAAGAAAATTACTTTCAGAACAGATGTGTCATGCCCTTCAAATGTCTGAAATACAGAGTAGAACATGTATCACATCTTTGGTCATCAGGCCTGAATATTTATAACTGGTAAGCAGCAGTCATAAATATGAAACAGTTCATAAGTCTGAAGCAACTTTTTAATTGTAGGTTTTATAAAAAAAAAAAATTTTTTTTAAATTTTTTGTACATGTGTGCATATAAAATATGTATCAAATCAAAACCTCATTTTCCAAAGCCATTATACAATTTGTCAAATAAATGAATACTCACTGAGAAACACACAAAAAAGTTCCCAATATATACAAGCTTGTTAAATTTGAGTGGTCCAAAACATGAGATTATGAGATAAGATTACGTCCTTACCTTAACACAGGTGAAATCAGAGAGGGACCAGATCTTGATGGTCCCATCACTGGAGGAGGTGGCCAAACACTGGTCAACAGGAGAGAACTGGACACACCATATCCCTCTCCTGTGACCTCTACACACACCTAGGAGAGACAGGCTACTAGCATTCCATACCTAAGAGAACAAAAGTAGACAAAAGGGCTCAGATAGCAGATTACTTTGATATAGGGAGAAGTGAATGAACAAAAGCAAGCAAGGTAGCAGGTTATTTTGATATAGGAAGAAGTAGACACCAAAAGTAAGCAAGGGTTCACATAGCAGGTTACTTTGATACAAGGAAAAGTGAATGAACAAAAGCAAGCAGGTTATTTTGATATAGGAAGAAATATACAACCAAAAGGAAGCAAGGCTTCAGAGAGCAGGTTATTTTGATATAGGGAGAAGTGGACAGAGGTGTGATGGTCTGCATGTTGGGAGAAATTGAACCTTTTGTTCAGGGTAGGTCAAACATTTTAATAGGATGGATCAATATTGAAATTCCCTTTACCAAACATACATCCTGAAATATCTTATTTAGTCTTTATTAGAATAATTGTCAAGCTTTCAACAAGATGAGCTGAATTTTACTGTAAAAATGCATATTTTATAGGAGAACTCAGTCAGGGACTGTTTGATTTATGTCAAAGCATAATCACAATATAAACAACCAATGTAATTACTTCAGCAGAACATAATAGGAAACAAAACAACATAATTACTTTAGCTGTCCTATCCTGGGATCCTGTGGCCAATAATTTGTCATTGGGTGACACTGTGATGGAATTAATATCCTTCTCGTGTGCCTTCTCTGTCATGTTAGCATGAAGATTTGTCACAGAGTTGCCACAATGATTGTCTGGCACTGACCACAGCTTGATGGTGCAATCCTGACTGCCACTGACAATAAAACTTGGGGCAAGTCTGAAATATGAAACAGTATTTATATCTGGGGCCAGCTTCACAAAGAAGATTTAGACTGAAAGTGGATCTTCAATTTTAGACCAATATTTTGGTCTTCTTTAGTTCAGGACAAATCTGCAGTAGTCTACTACAATGAAGTAGCTAATAGACACAAATAGACTAAAACATGAACCATGTCTTATTGCTGTTAATTTGTCACACCATTTATTTAATTGTACTTCATAATTACGTGGAGTCAAAGTACACTCAATTTTTTGTCAAAGTAATTAACCATTTAGTCTAAAAATCATTTGTGAAACAGGCCCCAGAACTTCAGCCAGAGTTTACAAACAGTGAAATTAAATTTAGGTTACCTCTTGAAAACAAAATTGAGCAGATTACTGTATTTTTATTTATTTATTTATTATTTTATTTATTTATTTATTTATTTATTTTTATTTTATTTATTTTTTTTTTTTTTTTTGGACACTGGAATACAAAATTTTCACTAAAAGATTACATGCAAACCATATTCATTGATTTCCAACTTGCATCAAAATTACTTCTATCCCCAAATTTTTACAACAAATTAACTCTATTAAATTAAGCAGTCTAATAATGTTATAAGGTAGCTGTACATTCAGATAAGAGGCTGCTCATTAAAAATATGGTAATCACAAATATAGGCAGCCTCTTACTACAAAGAAGCATGATTTACCTTGAAAATGCTACTGCTCCAACAGCATGGGTGTGACCTTGACCTACAGCTACACAGCTCATTTTCTGAGTATCACCATCTATTTGCCATAGCCTGATACTGTTATCCTGAGGGTCAAAGAACACACAAGAAACTGCTTTTCTTTAAATTTTCTTTTTTTCCCCCCAAAAACATGAAACATTTTTATCTTTCTTACCTGAACATTCTTGCAAACATTGTCTGTACATGCCACAGCTAAAAATATGGGTGACTACTTCATTTAGACAAAGATATTTACTCCCTTTTTAACAATATTACTCTGTTAAGATTCCCCTGAACATACATTTTAAGTGTATCAAAAGTAGATTATTACTTATCTACTCTATTTATAGAAGATGAGACCAATGTTTGCTTTCACCAAAACAGATAAGGAAAGAACCAAAACTTGGTAGCATTTGAACGATTTAAGCATGTCCCAAACCTTAGAACTGCTGACTAGAAGGTTTCCTTTTTGGTAGACATCTAAACTAAGCACAATATCTGTGTGGCCATGGAGAATCTGGCAGTTCCAGGTGCTCAACTCAAACACTTTGATAAGTTCACTGTTTGTTGCCACAGCAATGTGACTTTCCTGCTCCCCAAGAAAATGGATGTCTAGGATGTCATCATTGTAACCTGCAAACTGCAACATAAAAACACAAGAGAGTTTGTAAAAAATTGTCTTTGGTGTATTCAACATTTACTTTTTGAAGTCTTAAATATATCAAAATTAAATTCTAAGTCAGAATCCTTTTCAAGGTTTTTGTTACCTTTACCTCTGGCATATTAACAAATTTCTGTTTTCCATCAAGGTAATTACCTCTTTTTATTGATAAAATCAAATCATGTTCAAGACTTGCTTTTGCGGTTAAAACTGCTGTCAGAGAAGCTTTGAGTTATATTTTCAAACAGATTTTTTATCTATGATAAAATCAGCTGGCTACAAAGCAGCAATATATTTTATCAACATATTCTTATTCTTCTAGAATCAACATATGTAGCTAACCTGCTTTTTCACTTCAAACCCCTCCAAGTCAAACATTATGATATAATGGTCAAAAGTGACCACTGTAATAGCCCCATTGGATGGACAGTGTATGGCTTGAGTAATGTTTGACCTTTGGTCACTTTCTTCAACTTCTCTGCTTCTTGCTGCCAAGGCAACTGGGCTGTCCTCTTGTGTGTAGACACATGCTGCCTTGGAGGTGTTCCAAACTTTCAGTATACCTTAAAATACAACATGACAATTCTAATCTAAATGTTTCAACCACCATTTTTTCAGTGGTGAAAAGTAGAGTGAAATTAAATTATTTAAGTTTAAGCAATTATGGACAAACTATGTCATCAAATTGTATCTCTACTCCTCCCTAAAAAAGAGAGAGAGAGAGAATCAAACATCCATTTGATTCAATGTAGTATAATAGAACAGCATGTCAACTTCTCACAAACATGGTTAATTATAGACACACACGCAATTAATTTTGCTAAGTAGCATGCCATCTACATAAAAACATTTTACACAATAATTAGAAAATTTTACACATGTAAAACTGTATCTATAAATATAATATTACAGGTATCTATAAAATTCATTGTCTGATAGTTCTGTTCCACATGAGAGCCTCTTACTTTACCTTTGCTTCCAGCTGTTATGAAATGCTGTTCCCCTGCTACCACTGACAATTTGGGATAGTCCATATTGGGTGACAAAAGCAACACAGATTCTACTGGCTAAAACAATACAATAATTGAAATAATAAATCAATTTCTAGCAAAATGTTTCCAATAACTGATAAGGTAATCGAATTTTTTTCACCTGCACTACAAAACTTCTTATCATACTAAATGCACTCGCAACAACTTGAATATTGAACACTGTAGTAAAAATGCAAGTTACGAAGAACACAATCTGTTCACACCCATGGCCTGTTGGGAATGTTCTGAAGGTAAACATGTCAAAATTCTGTTTGAATCTCAAAGCAAGAAGTTTACCTCAAACACTGGGATAGTCTTCAGGCAGAGAAAGGAATGCAGATCCCACACCACTACTACACTGTCTCTGCCACAACTAGTTAAAAAAAAAAAAAGAAAAATTATTCAGTCCTTAAAATCCATTTCTGCCACATTTAGTTTATAAAGCAAGAAAACTCTTCCAAGGCTTGAAAATACATTAACAAAATCAAGATTAGGCAGTGGGAAATTTTATTGCGGTTTCTCTTGGACAAACCTGTATAAGGTGTCGCCATCTTCAGTGAATTGCAGCCCAGTGATGACACTGAAGTGCTTGTCAAGGACAGCAATGCAACTACTTTTCATGAGGTCCCAGACACGGATTTTATAATCTTCAGCTGCACTTATCAACTGCATTCTCTCAATGTCTGGATGGAAGGCAACACCTCTAAAATAAACATTACAAATGAAATTAAGGGATTAACAAGAAGCAAACTGATCCAGTTATAAATGTCAAAACTTGAAGCAAGAATACTAATGACAAAAACCTATTTTACTTCCATTACATACTACTAAAACATTCAATAATATGTTGAGAAAGATGACAAACTACGCTCTATTTAGTATGATACATGTAATTAAGACTTACTAACATTTCACCAATCCATACTGATGGATCACATTACATCAGATACAAAAGATTACTATGACAACCAATGATATATCTCACGTCACAACTCCTGTGTGTCCTCTCAAGTTATGAGTGCAGTATTGTTTGATAATGTCCCAGATCTTGATGGTGGAGTCCGCACTCCCCGTGGCAACCAGCGTGGAGGTGCTGTCAAAGGCCATGCATGTCACAGGGGCATTGTGCACTGCCTTATGAAAGAGAAATAAAATAGTTAAGTAGTTAATATATTAGTCAAGATATAATGTAACAACCCGGAAGACTCTGGCAGAGTTCAAGTTATAGTATTTAAGTATAGTTCATAGATAAAATAGATAAAAGAAGAAAATTAAAGGGGGGAGGAGAGGATGATATAGAGGGCATAAACACTGAAAAATGTCCCCAAAGCAATCCTTATGCCTGATACATTAAACTGTACACTAACCACTGTGAGATCAAATCAGGGTGGAACAGGTTCCTAAAGAATAAGTTTAAATTGCAAACCTAGCATGACTTTTCTAACAGGTTTTCGGCTTTAAACGAATCTTCAACTTACACAAATATGCACGCAATACTGAGATTTATTTAATTTCATTAATGTCATTAATTCCATTTCTACTGTTATCATCATTACTTCGTATGTGCTTACCTTCCATGTTCTTTCTATCTTGTTTTCCTTCCACTCCCACTGTCTTAGCTGCAAATTTCTGCCGGCTACTATCAATGTCTGAAAGTGTGTACAAAAATTTTTTTTAATTCTGCAGCATTTTAGTTCCGGTTTCCTTTGATGTGACCCTCACTAAGAAAGAGACCCATTAATGCATCTATGAATCATACAACCTGTGGTGCCCACTGCCTACTAGTAAGTGCAGAGTCTAGAAGTATGAAGGAAATCTGTGCAAATATTTGCTCTTTCAAGAATTAAGAGAAAAATTGTCTGTGAAAAACATCTGTTAAGTTATGTAATAAATTAGCAACCAATGCTTACCAAAAGTACTTACCTGATCATCTGGACTTAGTATAAAACTAGTGATTTCTTCTTCTTCTTCATTCTGAAAGATGATAAAATTATTTTACTTCCACGATTGTAACTACCTGAATATTAAATGTTCACTTTGAGTAATTCTCAGCCAACACAAAACTATACAAAAATATCAATTTCTGATTGGATGCAAGAAACGCAACATCAATTATCAATCAATCTGATTAAAATCTAAACACCAAATAACACTTCCCTTTGAAAAAAAAACATTATTCAATACAACTAACAATTTATGAACATTATTTTCTTGTTTATGAATTTCTCCTGAGACAAAGGAAAATAAACATATGCTGACATTCTAAAGTCACCAACCTGTCCAATAGTGCTGTGAATCCGTCCAGTCTGGACATCCAGGATCTGGAGCTGGTTACCTGAGCTACACAACATGAAGCTGCCATCTTTGGAGAACTGGAAGAACACAAAACAATTGTGATTAAAGGAATTGCTCAAAAATTAGACCAAATTATTAATGTTATATCTTAAATATTTTTCTAAGTGCTAATTTGTAAAAGTGATTATTTGAAAGCTTTGAAAATTGTGATGGGTTTACAGCAGAATATTTTTTGTCATTTTAAAATTTATGTAACGATTTATCTTTGCCTTATTAAATTGAATATTTAAGGTAATTCTGTATGAAATCTGCAAGTTATTACTGAAAATTAATGATTCAAATAAATTTCTCTCAGTTAACTGCACCCTTTTTGTATGCTTCTTAGCCGCATAGATCTGTATTTCAATATAATAAGTGTTCTATTTTTAAGCCTTTCATAATTCCCTGAGAAGTACTCATAGTTCACATGAATGTGCTTATGTTTCTAAATGTAAAGTATGTACTATATATGTTTGTACCACAAATATGAATCATTAAAAGAAACATAATGGAAACCAACATCAACTGTCTTGTTGGAGATCAACCTACCTGTACTTTGCCACCTGTGTAAAAGGCATTGTACCTGCTATCCACAGCAAAGCTAAATAAATAAACAGACAACAGGAAAACATTAATTGATAATTAATATACATGTAAATAGCTAAGACTTGTACTGAATTCAAGAGAGCCCATTCAGAATGTCCCTAGATAATTTAACCCCAACACCCAGCATTAATAATACCTTGGGATACTTTGACCATTACATGTATATGAAGCCTTTAAATCAAGTTGGGCACTCATTTTTAAAAATAACATCCAAAACATTGACAAACATTGCAACATTGTGTCTCTTGATGTAAATGGAATGACTCAAAATTATAACAGTTTATTCAAACTAAGATTTATGAATGCATGTACTCATACCTTTGTACCATTTTACCTTTCTACCAAGGTCTGTAACTTACTGGTTCTACTTTTGTTCTATTAGCAAAAAAATCATGTGTAGACCATATTTGTAAGATATGAATCGGTATCCAAGGGCAGTTATTAGCTACCAATGGCGATAATAGACCAAAATTGGTTCTTTAAGAGGTCGAAACTACTAGTAGGTTTCTGATTATTACTGTTAATTAGGTTTCACATTTGAGTAATTAACTCTCGGAGACGTTTGTGTTGTGTTACTCTAAATAAGTTCAGTAGTTTCCATTACATTGAAACGTTCAACAAAGCAGGTTTCACGACTATTAAGATATCGGCCACAATTTCTATTGTTCGTTTCCAAAAGTATTTTAATCTCGATTTGCTTAATAAAAACGTGAAATACAAACTTTACACTACATCGCTACTTGCCTGGTTTTTAATTTCGTGCTCATGGTTTAATCGGAAGCACGTTGGTTTCATCCCGCAGAAAGCAATTTCCGGTTTGGATTATTCTCCATGTTTCCGTCATTAAATTCCCAATACGGATTTGGCATTGGAAGCTTGAGCCCATCGGGGCCGTAGCGATAGTCCGAAGGTTCAATAGTCCGAAGGTTCATTGGTCCGAATGTTCACTATAGAACCTTCGGACCAATGAACCCTTGATNACTGAATAACACTTCCCTTTGAAAAAAAAACATTGCTTAATACAACTAGCAATTTATGAACATTATATTCTTAATTTTTCCTGAGACAAATGAAAATAAACATACACTGACATTCTAAATCCACTGACCTGTCCAATAGTGCTGTGAATCCGTCCAGTCTGGACATCCAGGACCTGGAGCTGGTTACCTGAGCTACACAACATGAAGCTGCCATCTTGGGAAAACTGGAAGAACCCAAATCAATTGTGATTAAAGTAATTGCTCAAAAATCTGACAAAATTATTAATGTTATTTCCAAAATCATTTCGTAAAAGTGATTATTTGAAAGCCTTGAAAATTATGATGGGTTTACAGCAGAATATTTTTTTGTTATTTTAAAATTTATATAATGATTTATCTTTGCCTTATTAAATTGAATATTTAAGGTAATTGTGTTTGAAATCTGCAAGTTATTACTGAAAATTAATTCAAATAATTTTCTCTCAGCTAACTGCACCCTTTCTGTATGCTTCTTAGTTGCATTTGTCATAATTGCTGTTTTCATTATAAATATACAGATCTGTATTTCAATATAATAGGTGTTTTATTTTTAAGCCTTTCATTATTCCCTGAGAAGTACTCACAGTTCACATGCATGTGCTTATGTTTTGCAATTTTTGTAAAGCATGTACATGTATACTGTCTGTACAACAGATATGAATCATATACATATTGATCAGCCTGAATTTCAAAGAGACAATAGAAACCAACCTCAACTGTCTTGTTAGAGATCAACCTACCTGTACTTTGCCACCTGTGTAAAAGGCATTGTACCTGCTATCCACAGCAAAGCTAAATAAATAGACAGCAGGAAAATATTTATTGATAATTAATATAAATATTAAAAGACTTGCAATGAAATCAAAAGAGCCCATTCTGAATGTCTCTAGATCATTTTATCCCAACACCTAGCATAAATAATACCTGAGGATACTTTGACCATCACCTATACATGTACATGTAGGCTTTAAATAAAATTAGGCCCTTATTTTTAAGAATGACGTCTAAAACATTGACAAACATTGCATCACTTAAATGGGGCCGTAGCAATAGTCCGAAGGTTCAATAGTCCGAAGGTTCATTGGTCCGAATATTCACTATAGAACCTTCGGACCAATGAACCCTTAATTAAAAAATCGATGAAAATGTTACCACTTTTCGGACCAATGAACCTTCGGACCAATGAACCTTCGGACTATCCAGTCGACGCCCCCACTTAAATTTATCTCTTGGGGTAAATGGAATGGCTCAAAAATTATAACAGTTTATTCATGCTTAGATTTATGCTCGTATCTTTGTACCGAATTATACCAAACTTCTTTAACTTACTGCTTCTACTTAATTTCTAGTATTAGCAAAAAATCATGTGTAATCAGTCCTGCAGTAGACCCTACTTGGAAGACATGAAACGGTACCCAAAGGCAGTTATCTGCTACTGAAGGCGAGAGTAGACCTAAATTTTTTCTTCAAGAGGTCGAAACAAGGTTTCACATTTGATTATTATTGTAAACAAGGTTTCACATTTGAGTATTAACTCGCGGAAACGTTTGTGTTGTGTTAGTACAGTACTCGAAAGAAGTCCAGTAGTTTCAATTACATTAAAATGTTCAACAAAGCAGGTTCCACGACTTGTTAGATTATCGGTCGCAATTTGTATTGTTCGTTTCCAAAAGTATTTTGATCTCGATTTGCTTAATAAAAACGTGAAATACAAACTTTACACTACATAGCTACTTGCCTGGTTTTTAACTTCGTGCTCATGGTTTAATCGGAAGCACGTTGGTTTCATCCCGCAGAAAGCAATTTCCGGTTTGGATTATTCTCCATGTTTCCGTCATTAAATTTACCCAGCATGGTTTTGTCAGTGGAAGCTTGAGCTCATCAACGGGATCGGTGCCATATGGACTCCAAACGTAATCAAAAGACATTAAACTCAATTGTTGCAAAGTATAATCAAGAGAGATTTCACGTGGGAGAGAAACTATATGTATACAGATGCCAGCTTTGTAAGACCCCATTCCCAGAGATATATTAGAACGATCTACGTTAGATCGACCTAACTCCCTGGGGGTTCACGCTAAATAGCTGTCAGCTGAGTGAGCACGAAAGTTTATCATCCCTTTACAGCTTGTAGTAGGCGGGACGGACATTTAAGCCGGATTATCTGGCAGTAATCTAGTGAGACTCCCCGCGGGGATAGATCGATCTAAAAGCTCTGGGAATATGCCCTAATATGGCATTTTCCCCAAAATATCACAGGGGCGGATCTAGAATTATTTGAAGGGGGTCCCCCCTCTAGTACGTATGCTTCTGTGACAAGAGATACACATTTTGGTTAGAACCTGGGTAGGGAATAACTTGGGCCCGTTCACTATGCTGGGGTAGTTCAATGAAATGGAATTGAAAGGCACTCTAGGTTTCGAAATATCAAATTTTTAATGAATAGCACATTTAATGATTATGATATTTCAATAGCAAAGATATAAATTGGAAAATAAACAATGAATTTGAATTACAATGACAAAAAAGAGTATAATATCTTATAAGTATGTCTTTATATGTACTTCACTTTAAAATTTAATAAATTGAAAATAATTCACGAAATAGTTTCGAAATGTTTATTTCAAATGCAGCCTGGTTGTCATCAAAAAGTTCCTGTTTCTTCATTTTAAGTTTGGAAACATGTCACACATCATGGTTTCCAGCTGTCATCTGAGTCATCAGAATCACCATCTATCTGAGCCAAAAGTTGTCCAGCTGACAAAGGTATCTTTACTTCATAATCGGTATCTTCTTCTGTTACCACATCTGAAATACTGGAAAATTCAGAGTCTGAGTTTTCTGGATCATCTTCCCTCCAGGATGAATCATCACTATCAGACTCATCAGCTGCAGTGAAATTCTCCAACATCTCTAGACAAGATGGCGGCACCTTGAGACCCTCGGGAGAGATCCACGCCTTAGGTCGGTTTTGATTGGATCTTCCTCCATTCGTTGAGTCCCTAGGCAAGGTGCTGGACTCACTTCCTTCTGAGGAGTTAGTTGCAGCATTTTCAGAAACTGGGTTTTTGTTCTTCGATTTCGTTTCACAATCCTTGAATTGAGAATCTATTTGGCCAGTGGTGTTTTGTTGTTTTTTGTTACTTGATTTGACATTTTGAGCTGAACTTGAGTGTTTCTGTCTTCCAAATTTTTCATCTTTTACTGTGGACAAACACTGAGGATTCTTTGCTTTTGAAATGCTTGTTTCTTCAAATAAAATAGAGCTGGATGTTGATGCACCTTCATTGATTTTACCAAATAATCTGTTTAATTTATATTCAACTTTATTATTGGAGTCCTTTTCTGTTTCTTTGTGGATAAGAACTAGAGGTATGTTAGTACTGTTGGAGTTTGGTGAGCAAGACCTTTTCCTTTTTGCCACTTTACTGTTGGTGCTGTCAGTTGACTTACTTTTACATGTTGCTGTTAATCTTGAGTTTTTGACCATTTTCTCTTCCTTTTCACAATCCATGTCACTTTTTGTTCTTTTCAAAGTTTTGTCATTTCTTTTACATTTTCTTTGGCGTGGCACTGTTTTATCTATTATTGTAAAATCATTTTCATCTTCTGAATCACTGGACTGCAACTCTTCAGGCAACTTCTGTTTTCTCCAACCAGATGCGACTTTGTCACTTACCCTCTTTCTTTTCCTAGCCTGTTTTGAAGAGCCATCTTGAATTTCAAAACTGGACATAACTCCTGAACTATTTATTTCTCTTACAGAACTACAGCTTGCCTTTGCTCCAGTCTGTTTGTGCTTTCTGTCCTTTTCTTGATTCTTTGAAAGCATTTTACTGTTTGAAATTTTGTCGCAATCTTGAAGTTCACCACTCGTTCCTTTGTCCATTGCAATATGCTTTCTTTTACTGAGTTGTTCCTCTTTTTGGTTCGATATTCCAGTCAATGTTTTCTCATAATTAATTTCTTCTTCCTGAATAAGATCAATCTCACTATCGTCATTCTCGCCTTGATCACTGGGCAGTGCATACAAGAGAGTATCTGATGAACTGCCAGATGACAACTTGACCTCAGTGACCTCGGAGTCCGTGCCATCACTGGCCTTAGAATCATTGCTACTGTCTGACTGGTTAGAATCCGAATCGGATTCTGAAGTTGAGAGTACCCTAGTGGGTTTCCTGGGTGACAATGAGGATGAGGATGATGAATTGCTGTGTGAATGGAGTCCAACAGATGCCATGGAGGTATCAGACAGGACATCATTTTCATTAAGTTTTGGACTTCGACCATAGCTGTACAAAGTGTCTGAGGTGTCCGAATCACTGCAGGGGAGGGCAGGGACTTCAGCCTGGCCTTGTAAGTTTTCACTATTATTTGACTGTGGACGAGACTGGCTGGAATTCACTGAGGATGTACTGCTTGCGGAGGAAGAGGCAGAGGAAGAGGATGAGGTGCTCTCATCTCCTGAATGTTCACTTCTGCTATCATCTGTTTGATGGATTTCAGCCTCACTCCTGTTTCTGCTATCTGGGTGCAAGTCTTCAGCTGGAGCATTTGCAGTTGCCTCAGTACGCTGCGTTTGACTTCTAGTTCTTATTCTTCCGTTTTCAGGAATCTTGAAAATAAATATTTGAATGTGTGGTTGTTTTACAATGAGGAGAACAACTACATTTGTGCAATGTTATAATAAAATTGCATTGTAAAATTTTTACTCTTTCCTCTGAAAACAGTATGACACTTGCATAATTTCATTTACTTAAACATGAAAATGAAAATTCAAATCAAGACAGTGACACACATTTTGTGTAAAATTTACATTTTACTTGGTCCATCATTTTTGCTGTTTTATACTACAGTACTCACCAATATTGAAAGCAATGATTGAAATAATACTTGAAAAGTAATGGTTAACATTGATGCAAATATTACACAAAATGTCATGTCAGTGACATGACCAAAATGTTCTCTCTTAGTGGAACACCCCGAATTGCCAAATAATTCACCTTAGCAATTGCTAATATACATCAAATATAAAAACATGAGATACGAAATACATATGAGAGAGAAAGAGAGATTCGGACTCAGCCATTACCTGAATATCATTTTCATCATCCATTTGAAATATATTCACTTCCTCAAAATCTGAATCATCAACACTTTCCTCTATTGACCTAAAATATGAAAAAAAGTCAATAAAATTAGCTAATCAGCCTCAAATTTACAGAATCCCAAATGTAAACTCAGAAAGTTTTGTAAGTGAATAAACATCTTTCTACTAGTACTTACCATTCACTACTAGTAGAATCAACAGCTCTGACCATCTCTAGGCGATCTCTGGCCTCATTCAGTTGTCTTTCAAGCTGGACCCTCTGTTGCCCTAAAGAATTCTTCTGTTCCAAAAGTTCTTGGGTGTACTGTTTCATTTTCTCAAGTTCTTCTTTGCGCTCTGAAACAATTATCACCATTTATGTTCAGTAACATCTATTCCATTCTTTTCACACATATATATACTACTAACTACAAAGTTCATCCAAAAACACTATAAGCTTTTCCTGTCATTTTCTGAACTTCAAAAATGTTTTTAACACAATGCTGTATACATATATATGTAAATTTCATGAAAGCGCTTGAATGGAAAATGATTCATGTGTGATGTATAGAACTTAATTATTGAGTGGAGTTGTTTATATTTTCAAGAAACTGGTTGTTCCCCATCATACACACATCCTCTCCATAAAATAAAAACAACACTGATAACAGCCCTTCTCCCACAGCTCAGTTTAAGAGATTCAAAAGGATACAGGGGAATGATCAGGAACACTTAATATAAACCATTTCCATTCTGAGTTCTATCTTGGACAAAATCTCCTTAAGCCAAATATCTAGACAGTTTTATCCAAATCAATTACTTTGCATTACAAGAAAGATAAATTTGGCAAAAAAGAAAAACTCACATTTTCCTTAATCAAATAGGAATTTGTTCAGCATTTGGCTAAAACTTACTATGCTAGAGTGAGCTCAGACTCTTAACAATAAAGTACCTGACAAGGCTCTCTTCAAAGCCTCCAGACAGCTGTGACTGGCAATCTCTCTCAGCGGAATCATTAACCCACAGTCAGCTTCACACTGTTTTTCCCGGTGCGGACATGACTGATTCTCATGATCAGACAGATTCATGCGAAGAATTTTTTCCCCACATTTCTTAAACTTGCACTGGAGTAATGCAAAGGGGCAGTCTTTGATGTGTGTCTCATACTGCTCTAGCTTCATCAGTTCTGTACAACCATTCTCCTTATTGTCACATCTCATGGTCAAACTGAAACAGATTTTTATTGCTTAAATAACAGTAAAAACCACCTGTTCATATGTAAATCATAGTTTCAATGGAGATAAATGACAACTGCTAATGCCACAAATCATGATCAAACTTCAACAGACAATAAATGTCTTTTTAAAGATACAAATATGCAATTTCCACCAGTTTAAAATTACCTTTAACATAACTACACTTTGCGCATTATTAACAAACACTTTGTGGATAAAGGTTACACTGACATGTAAACAAAACCTTTAACTTTTCTTTACCTTTGTATCATACTCCGGATAATTGGTACAGTCTCTTCGAGGTCTGCCTTCTTTATCCCCTGTCTCCTACATGTAGGGCAGCTCTGGTGGCTATCAAGCCAAGTTTCTATACAGATCTAGAATAAGAAGCAAAATCTACTATCATTATCATAGAAGTGCTCCATTCAAAGCAAAACTGTCAATTCTTCAGAAAATGTGCTTTGTAAAAGATACAATTATCTAATGTTATGATAAAGTGAAAAGAGTCCCCAAGAGTCCCAACACCTAACAAAGCTCTACAATGAGACCCACAAAAACTGTAGTAGGCTACAGAAAAAAATGTATATCACACGTAATAACTTGCAGTATTATGCAGATGAATTACTATCAGCTTACAAAAATTAAATGTAAAGAAAGCTGCTTACCCTGCAGAAGACATGAGCACATGGGGTTTGCACAGGGTCAAGGAAAACACAATGGCAGATGCAGCACACCAATTCTGGAACTGGGGCTGGGTCGAACTGCTCCGTGTCGTACTTGGACATCTTATGAGTTTCTTGTATTTCAATGATCTTTCATATGTGCAGTTTAACCGACACTCTGTCCAGCTTCATGTAGTCTAGATGACAGGAAAGAAAAGGAAGTTGGTTACATCCCTATACGTCCCCGCACTGATACTCCCCATCACCGGTACATCCATGCACCAATACTCCCCTGCACTGATACTCCTCCACAGTATCAATGCGGAGAAGCAATGATGTGGGGGAGTAACGGTGCACCTACATCGGCAATTTTACTGGGGATGTATCGATGTGGGGATCTATTGGTGTGGGGTCGTATTGATGCGCATAATACACAAAAATTTACTAAGGGGGATTATTGGTGTGGGGGAGCATCGACATGACCCCGGTCAATGGAGGCACTACCATTGGAAAAACACCAAATCTATAATTCATTTCGTATGACTTCACTGTTATCTGAATAACTTGCCCTGTAATTTTAACTACATTATAGCACAGCTTACATGTACTGGTACGTATATTTAAACTGAACGCTATCTGGTGACAACACTCACAATGACACTATGGTCAGTATGCTTATCGAGATGTACCCGCTAGTGATACTATTGTTATTTTGCAGACTACAATATTAACGTACAAACTGAAAATTAATACACTGTATACAGATCTCCACTGAGCACATCTGGAAATTGTAGAAATTTCGGCACCCAAAACTTGGGAAATTTACCGGTCATTCGTCAGCACTGACCCAGATGTGTTCTCGTTGGTAAATCTACCTTCCTACAGCAAGTAGAACTATTCGAGAAAAATGTATTCTACATCAAAGCCATCGTTCTGCAGTTACAAGCCCAATGATGCTATTCCGCCAGTGTTTGATCCATGTTCGCCAACACGAAAATATTGCGTTAGTTGAGACAGCTACCTAGTCCCTAGCAGTGTAGCCTACTATCTCTTAAATCGTCCCAGCCAGGTAAGCTCAAAATAGAATCTCAAATACAAGACAGCAAAAGTTAACGAAAAAAGGACAGAAACCAGCTGTTATATTTCTTTTCAAAAAGTCAAGTTATGTTTTCCAAACAAATGGGTGACATTCAGTTAGGTCCTACCACTTATATTCAAAAACATGGACAGTATTAAACCATGAAATAGCTTTAAAGATTAAATTTAAGTCTTTCATAAGGTCTAATGTTGGAATGAGATTGTAATTTTTATTGAAATTCCTATGGTTTGGATGGATCTAAGATCTAATAAACGGATATATGGTATATTAGATCTTAGGATGGATTTTAAAAAAGACTCTCCTATATATGACTATCAGCTGGAAAATGCTGTTCAAGTAACGTCGCAAATTGGCAATGGGGAACAGTATACCTATCATTATGTTTTTTAGATAAACATTTTTAAATTTTTTGTTTAAATGATCAGTTTCTAGGCATTATGAAATCCTATTTCAAAGAGGGAAAAAGACCTTTATGATTTGAATTAAAAGTGGAATAATAAAATAGTGGAATAATACGATAATTGTTAGGCCTACTAAATTATTAAGATAATACTAGTAGATAGATAACTGATAATTACGATAGACAATTATTCAATATATAAAAGGGGATGTGGGCGCGATCTGTGAGAGCTTCTTTGCTGTGTTAACAAAGTTGAACAAAAATAGCCAATTTTTCATATTTATTGCCTCATCTCTACATAGCTCTTATATCATATAAAAGATTTTCATGTATATATATATAAGTTTATATATATTGTGAAATAAGTAACACAGAAATATGAAACGATTAGTATAAACAATTCCCTTTTAACAACACGAGAGCAGAGGAAAAACATTTTATCGTCTGCCTGTATTAAACAAATGCAATGCAGCGGGATTTTTAAATTCCCCTTTTGCTAAGTCTTCGCGCAAAGATATACTCTACGATATGGTCCCAAAGGCTGTAAAATGTCTACGATATATTGACCAAAATGTAAACGATAAAACTATCAGTACAACTTTTAAAACTTTGCATAAGAGTTAACTAGATAAAACGTAACAGGATATTTACAAATTAAGGTATCTTTTGGACATTGGCGCACAGCGGGCATAATTTCAAAAATTCATTAAAAATGCACTTGGTCGTTCAGTTACCATAAAAAGGACGTATAATGAAAGATCGTGCATGTCCCATGTTTATATACGACCTGCTTGCTGTAGGTCTGAGAGCGTGAGTCAACGCAAAGATAGCCAGTTGTTGATTTAATTACTCACCCACTGATAAAGTTCGACCCGCTCTTAGCTGGTCATCATATTATACATAGTCATGCATTCTTTCCATATCATATGTTTGCTCATGTTTTTGTGTGTCACGTCTGATTTTCTAACTGCGTGTCTCGTAAAAAAAATGCAAACAAGTTCGAAACAGCCTCTTTAGTGCTAAAATCTATTTTTTGTTTAAATAAAAAAGAAAGGAGAAAAAATGTCCGACAGTCTTGTAGGGCCTACTTATTTTTCATACCATCTTAATAATAACTCGTCCATAATCTCTTAATTTCAGATAAAGTTTGCGTATAGGTGTAATGCATAAAGGTGTGGTAGATTCACTCAAGTGAAAAGGCACGCGCTGTGAACTTGCGTACACTAAAAACTACAATCGTTTAAACCAATAGGCCTACCTGAAGCGTCCATCTACAATATATGCCTATATAAGGGTGGAAAATCACAACCATATTCCCTGACAATGTTTTCACCCGAACATTCTGATTCAAACCACACATTTACAATAAGAGAAATTAAGTCATTCTCACATCATCATCATATACCCCAATCAAAATATAAATTCTAAAACTATGATATAAAAAGATCCGTCTACTTTAGGGTATGGGTGTGGTAATCATAATTCTACCAGACGCCTGTCTTACATGTATTTTAAGAATGTATCTTACATCATTTCGTCCATTTTTTAAATTTAATATTTGTCTTTGAAAAGCACCCGAACCTTTTGCAGAAAAACGCTATCACATAGCCATCGATGGTCCCCGTTCCTTTTTGTTTTGATATCCCTTAATCCTCAGAGGGAGATTTAACGTTTTTTTTTTCTTGGGTGGGGGAAGGGGTGGCGTTTCTTTCCTCTCTAAATAGGATTATTCTTTATCTTAATCCATATTTCACCAACCATAGCAAACCTTCACCCGCCAATGACACAGACTGCCGTGTGACGTACACCTTGAATGCAACGTTATGGCACTAATGACGAAGAACCAAGAGAGAGGCCCCGGACGCTGAGAATTATCTTGTTATATTGCTATAATGAAATGAGGCTCCAACAACGAATCATTCAAATGATGTCACGCAGAGGTTGCTTATTATTTTCCCATTACTCTATGTTATGTTGCAAAATATACAAATAAGTACATCCTGGCGTACCTGCCATATTTCAACCACTACAAAAATAATTTCCATCGTCTTCTTCCTTTGTTATATATATATACGGTGATAGGAATGTTTTTCAGTTGTTGCTTGCTTTTCATATGTATATACATATACACATACACAGAGCCCCGTAAGGGGCTGATCGTTTTCCGTGGACACAGTTTGTACATTTATTGTTCTTCTATACAGCATTCACCATAGCTTGCTCGCGGTAGGATGGCGGTCGGTCAAGGGAATCGCCGCTGATTTGGCTGGACTCGCTCCTGGTCCTAGAGCCTGGCTGGCCGGCCTTGCGATACTTTTGAGCTCTCTTCTGTTCGTATGGGGCGTCCACGTGTAGAACGGCTTTATTAGTCACTTTCCCTGACACCAAATCACTGAAACACGAAATAAATCAAATTGTTGTGCATTTGGTTTCAACTTGAGTTTCGGGTATCTGCGTGTCTCTTCAAGTTCCAGTAAAAGAGTATACTGATAAAAGGTGAGTTATTAGTTTCCTTCTCGACCCAAGGTGTTGGTTACTGATCACAGTTAACAGTAATACAAAACAATGATTCTTTTGATCAGATCAAAACAATAAGAACGTTGTAAATTCAAAAATTCTCTCTGAAGTTAAAAATGATCAAAGTTGATCTTTAGGAAACTAATATTTTAGTTAGAAACAGCATTAAGCTGAACATTATTTTTTGTAAAAGATCAGTTGTACTTACTCGTCTTTTTGAGTGTCGTTTTCATACCCAACGTTGACAACGGAAACTTGGTGATCTCCCGCGGCACGGAACTGAAATTAAACAAACACAGTTACTGAATAAATACCTTATTATTCAAAATATGTTTTGAACATGTAAAATGCTCTTTGTCGAAAGCATTTGTGATTTCAGGCATTGCACACGAAAATAGTTTATAGAGAAACCACAAAACAACCCAAATGTTTACGATGTACATGCATACCCCAAAGTATATATTAAACATTATGCCCCACCTCTTTTGACAAAGACTTTATGTGTTGAGCTTATTTCTTTTTACAGTTAAGTGAACCCTGTTTCTATATATGGAATGCTTGCTTTTGTGAATTCGTAAATAACTCTTGGATTTTATTTGATGCAACACACAATGCATCGGCGCGATCGTGTTATCTGCAGGCAGCTCCGGGGCAACGTCGTTTATTAAACCTTGATTATATTCTTGAGGGATGATTTAAATATTCAGTGAAGATTACTTTTCACTTTTTTGGTGAAAGAACTTGATTATTCTTTCATATATAATTATTCTGGACACTTGGGCCTAAACCCTTTCTTTAGATTAGTTTCATTACGCGTGGGTCACAATTTTTTTTTCAAATCCATATTAAGTCAGACGCCATTCTGACCAATAAAACTCATACAAGTTGAAAGCTGATAAGGCTAGAAGACACCTTATTTATAGAACTTTTCAAATAGGTTGATCCAATATCTCTGACCTTTTGTTCTTATCTAAGATATCGATGTTAAAGTTATTGCACAACACGCAGATTTGTCCGGTTCACTTGAAGGTGACTTTTGCTGAGGTCTGTGTCATAAAATAACTAACTAATGTCGAAAGCTGGTCATCACTCTCAAACTCTCAAACAAACGACTTTCATTTATTTTGAACTGTGACGAATTAGTAATAGTTCACTGAAATAAAGCAACCATCGCCTTAAACATTTATCATTTCTCACTTTACTGACTTTAAAAGGCTAGGTATTAATTAAAGTTTGGTGAACACAGGGTAAATGTTTCGGTCTTCAGTCAGTTACACATTTTGGTTTAAAAGTTCTTTTGTGCGACTGGGCCTGTGCTTAAAGAAAGTCTAAGATATCTCCAAGTGTCTTTGTATGCTAAGGGTGGTCTCACAAAGACGCAGGTAAAAGTTGACTCAAGTCATTTGAGCATATTTCGTTGATTTCATCACGGATGTATGGTTTCACGTCTTCCGATAAGGGGCATAAAACAAAACCATTGGTACCTCAAACTTTACTCTTTATCTCGATTTATGCCAGAACTAGATTTGTGTTTCTCATTTAAACGACCGTTGTCGTGAAATGAATTTTACACGGAAAAAAGAAAGCAGAAAATGTCAATGATGGTAAACAGTCACTATTACCCCATATGCAATTACAAATGGTGTAACGAGTGGGAATTTTAAATAGTACGGAAGTAGGATCATTTTATAGTAGTATCACTACACAGCCGGCTTCAGGTGATATTTAACTTTTCATTTCGATAAGAAAAGTTGAAATGAAATCAAATTATAATCAAACCACCCGACAGCCAAGGCATTTCCATATTATGAAATAGTACAAGTTTTGTGATATCAAAATATATTGGTCGAATCATGGACAAAATTACGTTATCATGTCCAAGGTCGAATCCATACAGAGAATCTCAGATCTCAAAATTTTATATTCAACCGTCATAACGATCTTTTTAGGCACATTATC